GACATCCGAAATATTGACTCTCTTCCTATATTCAAAACTCATCTTAAAACCCACCTATTTAAAATTGCATATACAGTTTAAACTCATCGCTTTTATTATTTATAATTTTATCTGTGGTTTTATTGCTCTTTTGATTGTAAAGTGTCCTTGGGTATTTTGAAAGGCGCTTATAAATAAAATGTATTATTATTATTATTATTATAACACTTGACTTTTGGGGAGTTCTAAAAGCTCTAAGCCTACAAAGTCACCGATGTAAAACTGCTCATTAACCTAGTAATTTGGTTTAAACAATCATGTAAAGTAATATATCGTCCACTTCAGTGTTGATATATGTTTTCCAATAACCTCACCATGTAGAAAGAAAATGAACTATGTCACGATTTGTCACAGTCTCACGATGAATAGCTTCGCAAGCCTAATATCTCTGTGGGTGTTGTCTTGGTAATGAAATGTTGATGTTTGTTGAGGGTCAGCTGTCACTAGGATGATTTCAGTGCAGCAGAATGCCTCAAACCTCTGGACATTATATAGAGGGAAACAACGGCATGTTTTTCCCTCTGTTGTTGTTTACTCCTTCTTGCCTCCTGGTTTCTCTTGCGAGCTTCCCCCTAGATTCTTCTGCCTCATCTCTCACACACTCACTCTGTTTGGTATGTCCATGTGACACAGACACACACATGCGCAGCTCGTGCTACGGCGGTTACAAGCGAGGCCAATGTGTTCGGCCTTTATTTGGAGCTGTGACCAAATCTGAGTGCTGCTGTGCTAGCATCGAGTACGCCTATGGGGAGCCCTGCCAACCCTGCCCACCGCAAAACTCTGGTAAGAACATTCAAGTCACATATGGCGTCACCTCCCACCCTCTTAATTCAAAACACAGATTCGACTCTGGATGCCCCAAACACTTGGCCTGCTTTGACACGCCGGTTCCAGCAAGGGCACATCCACACACGTCGAACTGGCAAATCTCAATTCAATTGGTCCCGCCTAATTCAAATCTCTTTACGGAAGCCAACACTGCACCGCATTAAAGAGACGTCTTAATATACCATCCAGGCTAAATGACAAAGCATATAAACCGAAAATAGTATGGAATCGGATGTCTTGAATTTTGAGAAAAGGTTTTGGTTGAGCTGACCAAACTGTGTTGTGTTGCAGCTGAGTTCCTGGCTTTATGTCCAAATGGCATCGGCACAACTGGAGATGCAAGAGGTATGGATGCCACTGTGTGTCGTTTCTTATTATTACGACGGGGCTGTGGAAATCAGTTACTATAGTATTATTTCTTTTTTATGGCTTCCAACGGTGACACTTGTGTCCAAGGAAAGTGTGAAGAGGTTTTTAGATCTTCTACAGGAAGTTCTCTTAACCTTGACAGTGAAAAATACAAAAAAGATAATGAGTTGTAATGTTTGTGTCGATCAACACCGATTAGGTTTTTTTTCTTTGTGCATGGATGCGTAAACGGCTGTCTTTGTCCTCTCAGATATTAATGAGTGTGCCCTCGATCCGGACTTGTGCCAGAATGGCGTCTGTGAGAACATGCTGAGAACATACAAATGCACCTGCAACGAAGGCTTTGAGGTCGACCTGACAGGCAAAAACTGTATTGGTAAGGGACTTGGCTTTTCACCAGGCAGAAAATATTGGACATCAAAAGCTGGCACGTGCAAAATCTTCATTTGTGTGTTTTTCCTCAGATATTGACGAATGTCTGGTTAACAGGCAGTTGTGCGATAACGGCCTATGCAGGAACACACCTGGAAGTTTCACCTGTCAATGTCTCAAAGGATTCCGCTTCAATCCGGAAAAAGATGTCTGTGAGGGTCAGTGACGTATTCACTTTTGATGACGATAGGACGTCTGCAACCAGGAGCAAATACGGGATCCGTCATTTTGTTCATTTTGTTTCCGGCAGATGTGGATGAATGTGTGTCTAATCCCTGTGTGAATGCGGACTGCGTGAACAGCAAAGGATCATTTGTTTGCTTGTGTTCAACGGGCAGTTCACTGGACAGCTCTGGGCTTGAGTGCATTGGTAAGTAGACTTTTTCTTTTTTGGAACAATGCTATCCTACAGCTCATTAGTATACTGTCTTACTTAATATGTCAACTAAACTAAAACTGTCCAAAACAATCCGGTCCGCATAGCTTTTCAATCTACATCTTCTTTTTGTTTGTATTTTTAATACATGTTCATTGGAAATAACTACTCGATCATGGCATATCCATACAGTATAAAGTGGATATAAAAACGTCGACACACCTCTGCTCCTGATATTTTTGGGATATGAAAACAATGAGACCAAGAAAAATAATTTCTAATCAATATTCGAACTCTTGTTAAATTGGAGTCAGCACACACTTGCCACCATTTAATTGCATCTGATTAACCAAATTAAATTAAATTAAACAAATACGTTTCAGATGTCCTAATAGGCTTTTCCGGACATTTTTCTTGCTTTCTAGAAGTAACCTGAAGGTTTCATGCTCATAATGACAACTGTTTGGAACTGTTTGTAATTCCCGCAAATTTGTCATTTTGGCCATAATTCCAAAAGGTAGGTTTGGCGGACACACAACACTGCTCCTCACCAAAAGAACACCATACCTGCAGTGAAAAATGGTTGTAACGCTATATTACTTTGGGACTATATTTATTCATCTGCACATGGGGCCTTAGACAAGATTTTCATGATTATGAACAGTTCTATCTAGCAGCACAAAAGCTTTCAGGCTACTGTTGGCAAGCAAAAACGAATGTCAGGAAAAGCCTACTTGAACTTCTGAAACTAATTTGAGGTTCATCAGAGGCCAATTTAAATGGTGGCTGGTGTGTGGTGACCCCCATTTAACATGAGGTTGAATGTGATTGCTTAACTCTGAACAGAGCCACATCAGAGTCGTAAGATACTTCAGACATATGACCAGTTCTCAAATCATTTACATGAACTTTTTTTTTCTACATTACTAAATATGAGTTTATATTTTATGTTCATTTGTCGGCTGAATCAGAGACAACTAAAAGCACTTGCTGGCTGAAGATGATTAATGATGTCTGTGAAGTCAACATCAACGGGGCAACGCTCAAGTCTCACTGCTGTGCCACACTAGGAGTGGCCTGGAACAGCCCTTGTGTCAAATGCGAAAAAGGTAAGCTCGCTTAAAAGTTTACTTGGTCCAGTAAACCATCTAAAATTGCTTTCTTTGTCATTCTCAGATCCCATTTGTAGTAAGGGCCTTGCTCGAGTCAGAGGAAATGTGTGTGAAGGTAAGTTTTGCTTTGACTCTTTGTCTGGATCTGAACATAATTCTACAAATATTTCCCTCAGATGTGGATGAGTGTCAAGTTTTTCCTGGAGTGTGTATCAATGGCAAGTGTGTCAACACGCACGGCTCCTTTTTCTGTCAATGCCCTCCTGGAATGACCGTTGATATTAGCGGGAGAACCTGCATCGGTAGGTTTCACAACTTGATACCTGACGTATCTTTGAGAACATACGTGTTGAGCAATAAAACTGCTGCAAATTTCCTGTCGATTCCAGACTTGCGCACAGAGCATTGCTACCTAACACATGAGGATGAACGTTGTGGAGCTCCTATCTCAGGAAAACACCGCGTGGATGCTTGTTGTTGCTCAGTGGGAGTAGCCTGGGGTCCAGAGTGCGATGAATGTCCCGAGAAAGGTACCCCGGAATACACTCAGCTCTGCCCTCGTGGACCAGGCTTCTCCCACCGTGGTGACTTCATCAACGGAAGACCCTTCCTCAAAGGTATTACTTTGATCAAAGGTTGGCTTACTATATCAGCCGCGTTCTCTCTCTTATCCCTCATTGTCCCTTGACTCTTCTCAGATATAAACGAATGCAGGATGATCAACGCAATTTGCTCAAATGGGAAGTGCAGGAATACCATTGGAAGCTTCCGTTGTCGTTGTGATAATGGATATGCGTTGGATTCGGATGAGAGAAATTGCACCGGTGAGTAACAATCAAGTCATCATGTCATACTTGAAAGACTATGATCCACATAACCGATGAACAACACATAGACAGCTTTTGGTTCAACAAAACATGCCGTTGGCTCACTTCAACTTACCGTACTTTACCTAACACTTAAACTTACCACCTAAGACTTATGTCTTGTTCAGTGTGCCCAACAAGTGAATAAAAATCTATTTCTGGACCAGGAAATTTGGTCATTGTGGTTTTACACAGACTGACACACGTTAAATTTAAGTGTTCCACCAATCAGAGGAAAATGATTTTAAGGCCTTAGAGCTCCTTGTATGTAAAGGGCTCTGGCTGGTAAGGTCTTGATGGTGTTGGATCAGGCCTTCTCGTAAGCTACATTATTGCCCTGATATGTAAAAACATCATTTTGTGTTTAAATTACTCCTAAAGAGAAAAATAAAATAAATAATAATACAGCAACATTTCTTTTTGTTAAAATCATTGTGTTGTGAATGTGATATTTGCTTATTTGCTTAAAAAAAAAAACAAAAAAACAATTCCATAACAAAGTTAAAAACAACAAAGACAATCAAGACATGAAAACAAGGGCAGTCTCATGGTGTGTTGGTTGTTGTTGTGTTGATTCTAGCCATGCACAGCACTACACCAGCGCTAGCTGATCAGAAATGTGTCAAGCTTATGTATGTATGTATATGTCTGTATATGTATGTATGTATGTATGTATGTATGTATGTATGTATGTATGTATGTATGTATGTATGTATTAAAGTTCACAAGTAGCCATTCTGTTCCAATACAATTCTTGTTTCTCTGTTCCGAGGGCAGGGAAGGGCGGGGGTGAGTCACTGAGTTACCTGGGCATTTGGGACACGTTCGGAAATAATTCACTTCAAATGTTCGAAAACTCAGCTTGTCGTTCAGCTATTCAGATTGCACCGAAAATTGAGCTAGGCACTAGGCGGTCCACCTGGGGACTTGGTGCACCATTGGTGGCTGCATTCAGAAATGAATGGGAGTAGATCACACTCTACCTCTCTGAACACACCCACTCTCCAAGTAGTGCTCGGGCGTCAGCTAATTTCTGACCGCGCTTTAGGTTAGAGTTAGTTAACTTGAAGTCCATCCCAGCAATGAATTGCCTTGTAATAATTAAAAAAAAAAAAAATACCCCCAAAATCTCCCAGTCCAACTCCTGAAGGAGCACCAACTGCAGCTCGTAAATGGCTTCAAAATAGAGTGCAACATTCCACAATAATCACAGGGGAAAACAGCGAGGTGACGTGGGTGTACAATTTGGGCATTTTTGTCACACTGAGCAGTGCACGTGGAAGGGGATAACAAAGATATAATCCATTATCGCATAGGGTCAACAATCAGAATATTTGGCTCGTCTTGGAAGCTGTATAATGTACAGCTTGGCGCCCTCAGACCGTTATGAGTATTTTCTCCTTCATTGTTTCTCCACTTTTTAACTTGCTACGTATGTGCTGTGTCTGTGACGAAGTAGCACATTTTCAAAGCCATTTGGCTGCATCCAGTGTAGCTGTCTTGACATTATATATATGTAATCGTGTCGCGAGAATTGCTCAGCACACGTACAATGTGACCGCAGTATATCTCGTATCCTCGTTTAGTAAATGTTTGGTTCGTCTTGTCAACAACGCAGCTATTTCCGTTAGTTCAAACAACACACATGCCTGCTGGTTACATCTGTGATTGGTTGAGTGTGCGTGGCTGTAAGTTAACTTGCGCTGAGTGATGAAAGCTAGTTTGAATCAAAGGGAAGTTCAATTTGAATAAATAAAACACATATTGAAGCTAGTTTTTATTGTTTTTTTTTCTTATTTTACAAAAGCAAATAACCTCATTGATGGATTGCGCAAATTATGACATGACAATCAATCACTGATTGCATAAAAAAAATATATAGACCGACTTTAATCAGATTGGTGTTAGTCTAGTTGATTCATTTTGATGAAATAAAAAAGAGCATTCGACTACTGATTTCCCATGAAATTGCACTTTTGAAATATTCCCTGTACATTTTTCAAGAAGGTCGACAAATCAATAACTCTACGTTGTTATTGTTTGATGTTTTGCTTTGTGTTCTTCTTCCCCGTAGATATTGATGAGTGCCGCATTTCTCCCGACTTGTGTGGACAGGGGCGCTGTGTCAATACCCCAGGAGACTTTGAGTGCGAGTGTTTTGAAGGCTATGAGAGCGGCTTCATGATGATGAAAAACTGCATGGGTGAGAGATACATCCTCCTTCGCACACGCTTGCATAATTTGATGCATATTGCATTAGCTCTGTGGGTTTGAAGGGTTTCTTTTTTTATTTATTTTTTTATTCCTGTTACAATTTGCACATGCGAGAGATCTTTTGAGTGAAGTTTTGAAAACCTGGTGTGACGCTACCATTCAGGCGTTGAATGCAGTGCTCTGCCAGGGGAATTTCCAGTCATTTGGAACCAAGGAGATCATAATGAAGTCATGCAAAGATTATGAATCTTATCAACTAAAAGTGGGAATTTTCCCATTTTCTGAACCAGTTAAAGTCCTGAAAATCTCTCTGGAGGATTATTATCAATAACCACTGAATCATCTCACCACTTTCACTTAAATTGATGAGAGAATTTGTCTATGTTTAATATAATTTAACATTTTGACTGCTTGAATACTCACATCTTCCTGATGAAAGCATCATTTGTGTCACTTTTCGCTTCATCCATAATGCACCCTCCTCAGCTGACACTGACAGCAGCGCCACAGCAACCGGCAAGAGCATCTGCCAGTGTCGGTCACGCACGTTCAGAGTCACTGTGGAAAATGTTGAAACTTTTGGTAGTTTTCATAAGAACCGTTTTGTGTTCATCTCACCTATTCCAATTCTGCGCTCCACATAACTTTGCTTCATTTTCCATCAAACATGGCAACGAATTTGTTTTGCTACCCTTTCCCTCTATCAATTCTGCACATTTGCAATATGAAGATGGAATAGTCCATTTTATGACAAGGGCGGAGGGAACACTTGAAATGATCACAATTCATCCAGTGTTTTGGTGTCTTCTTAAGCGTGTGAATTAAGCCATTTATGATAAGTTTGGGAGGGAGTGGGGGAAATCTTGGAGCCCCAGGAAATTGCCCGTGTTTGTCAAATGGTAAGTCCACCTCTGCTCTACGAACATGTCAGACGTGGAACTTACTGTTTATATGGCTGATTTATTCGTTATGTAAAGCCCCATGCCCCACGCAATTCCTGCAGCCCGTCACTCAATCGTTTTTCATGGCATCATAAAGATAATTGCCTTTTATTACATCGTTGAACTCATTGCATTATAATGCACTTGGACACTGCACAAAAAAAAAAAAATATGTGCAGTTTCCGGTCTTACCATCTGAGAAAATACGTATTGCTCGATTTCTGTTCTAAATTATGTTTGGCCAACCTGATTAAAATTATTGAGCAAAGCACTCACTAAATGGTGAGCGTCAGTGCTTTTGTTGGCTGATGATGTTAGTCCACGATTGCCAACACAATAACACTAAAAAGCAGGTTGGTTCAAGAAGGGAAGCCAGACTTCATGATTTACGCCGCTTTTAATGAATGACTTTATTTGAATAAGTTATTCCGAATCATGAAGGTCACATCCTCCCAGACAGCCAGAATTTATTTATTTTTTTTTGCATACATCTGAGAGTTCTTCTTCTTCCCCATCAGACATCGATGAGTGTGAACGCAATCCTCTGCTGTGTCGGGGAGGCGAGTGCGTCAACAACGAAGGCAGCTTCCAGTGTGTGTGCCCCGATGGACATGAGATCGCTCCCGATGGCTCGGCCTGTCTCGGTGAGTGATGAGGTTGTCAGAATGAAGACTTGGGCGGACCACTCAAAAGCTTTTCATTTGAGCCTTCATCCATTCCTTTGGCAAATGGAACTCCCACTTTGGCTCTCTGGCAATAAAAAAAGGTGTGGATAGATGATGAGTGGGGAAAGCTTGTCATTAAGCGGACTGTTAGACTGTCAAGTGTTGGCTCCTTTCCCTCCATCCGCCTGAGTTCTCTGAGCTCTCTGGGGCTCAGCGTATGGTCCAAGTGGCTGAGTCAGGTCTTTAGATGCTGATAAATGCATGAGAACCAAAGATTTGACCCCAAAAAAAAAAAACAAACCCAACTGAAAGGCACAAATTATAGTTTTATTCTGTGTTAGTATGATGTGTGTTTTGAGCCTGAAGCCTCGCAATTTTTGGTGTCTGTCTTTGTCCTATTTGAGTAAATTTAATTTGCTCTCCCCAGACATCAATGAATGTGACCTGAGCGACAAGCTGTGCAGGCATGGCCAATGTGTCAACATGATTGGACGTTACCAGTGTGTCTGTGACACAGGTTACAAATCTACTGCGGACAGGCTGGACTGTGTGGGTGAGTGCTTCAGATTTTACAGATATGCATATTAACAATCCCGGTACATGCTAGCAGCTAGCAGTATGTCATGTTTATTTGTCTGCCATTCTTCCACTCAGACATCGATGAATGCACCATTGAGAATGGAGGGTGTGAAAATTTTTGCACAAACTCAGAAGGCAGTTATGAGTGTAGCTGTCATTCTGGATATGCTCTCATGCCTGATCTGAGAAGCTGCACAGGTAATTAGCCTGCGTTACGTTTTCATACTTGCCTCTTTATAAGTGACACAGCTGTTCATGTTTGAAAGTATTTTTTTTTCCATGGTAGGCCAAGCAAATTGCTGTACATTGTGAGGTGGTTGAAACATCAAAAGTTGTACAAACAAAACCATTTCTTTTTAAAGACTGTTTGTCATGAGTTTATTGCAATATCTTTGAAGGAAGTAGACAACATTTTGTTGAGGAAGAAGTTGCAGCTGTAATGTAATCCTTGAAATAATATTTAAAGAAAGAACCTGTAATGTGAATTGGAGACCTATGTTGTAGAGAATTGTGGAGCATTAAACAGTTTTTCACCATTTCAGTTGTCCAGATTTTTTGGGGGGCGTGGCTAGTAACACACCTTGGAGTCCGGCGTGCATTGCCCCCTCTCCCACCTAATAAGAGCTTGAGTGCCTCTGTTTGTTCAATTGTGACATAGTTAACCAGCTGGGTATGCCTACGCCCCGAAAATACACCTTCCCTAAGCATAGTCCAGAAACATAGTCCACGGGAGTGCTCTCTCTAGAGAGCCTAGTTGTCTGCTGTGAGTGTGCGCACCTCGTGCAGAGAAAGGGTGAAAGAGCAAAGAAGAGGGGAAAAAGTCTGACTTGCAGCTAAAATTTGGACTGGGGCTTTGGGTTGCCATGACCGCTTTGGAGCACCTCGTTGCAATGTGGGAAAACCCTGCGATGATCTAGTGGGATATATATTTCAGCCACTGAAGGCTTGAAGCAGATCCATTTTTGCTCAAACATGTAGTTATGTGTAGGCTAAAGAAAGATGCTCGATCAAGTAGCAGCCTTTTTTCCAGTGGTTTTTGATTGACAGTTGTTAACAGTTTTTGTGTGCATGTCTATACTGTAGAGACAGCTAGACAGTACATTTTTAACCGAGGAGATATTTGTTTAAAAGAACAAATGGTTGTGCTGCACTTTTCTCAGGCTGCTGTTTAATTTAAAAAAAATGGAATTCAATTTGCTACATGCTTCATGTGCATCCCCTGTGCTGCACTAGGCTTTCTTGATTTGCAGCCAGATGTATGTTATTTAATTCTGCGATCATGAAAAATAAGATAAGAAAACCTTTATTAGTCTCGCAATGGAGAAATTCCCAATTCACAGCAGCAAAGTTATGAAAGGAAGAAGTAGAACAACAAATCAAATGTTCACAAAGTTGCTGTTCATGTACATGTGAAACCAACTATTGACATTCATAAATATTAAAAATGAATTGATAATTAAGATAATTAAGTTGAACAATTATTGACCTTACAAATATCGACTACTGTTGCATCTTAAAGATGAGTGATACTTTTCTCTTCAGATATTGATGAGTGCGAGGAGAGTCCAGATATCTGTGATGGGGGCCAGTGTACCAACACGCCGGGGACCTACCAGTGTCTCTGCTTCGATGGCTTCATGTCATCCGAGGACATGAAGACCTGCCTCGGTAACGAATATCATTTTATGACCAAAACAAAATGAAGCAGCTGAACACTTAATTGGTTTAGTTGGGGGAACTTCTGATAATTTTAACAGTTATCCAAAAGCTGAGTCAGTTGAATAGAATTTTATGACTCAGAGTGCGTGAGCTAGCAGTGAGTAATATTGTTGTTGATGATATTAAAATGAACATTGTGGTGGAGAGGAATGTGTGACATTTATATGCTTGGTTCAACTGAGAAAGAAAACAAAAAGCCCAAAACAATGATTTGAGTGCATATGTATGGGCCGGAACAAGTGCCCATTGTGCTGCTTAGTAAAATAAAACACATGCTTCTCCATCATTTCTCCCCCTTGCCTTTGTTGACTCTTAAGATGTGGACGAATGTGAACTCAATCCCAACATCTGCCTGAGTGGGAACTGTGAAAACACGAAGGGATCCTTCATCTGTCACTGTGAACTGGGATACTCTGTACGCAAAGGAACTACAGGCTGCACAGGTGAGCAGCACTCACATATACACGCCGAGTTTTCTTGTCGTGCGCGATGCAGCAAAACGACTGAAGTAAAACTGGATCATTGTTGAACCACAAAAACATGGTGCGATTGTCAAGGAAGCAGATTGCCAAAAAGAAAGGAAATGAGTGGTAATGACGGAGAGAGTCAGGATATTTTGAGGCGCTGCTGGCAATGATGGTTAGCTACATTCAATATTATTTAACGTTTTTGTTGTTGTTAGTTAGTTCACATCGTTAGCAAAGCTATGGGGACACATTGTTTTAATATCTTAGACCCCGTACCCAACGCTAGCTAGTTATCAAAAATTGTATTTTATGTACTGTTATTTAGTACTTTCACCTTTTTAAGTCTTTTTTTACACATCTGAGATTCCATTTAAGTACAGCGTGAGTACATTTAACACCTCTTCCTGTCAGTGTTAAAAACAAGTGAAAGTGAGCAAGTAAAAAACAGTTGTGTCTGTGGTTGTGTTGAACATGGGGGTTTATCGTGGGGAGAATGTTTGGCTAACCAGAGGTAGCTCTCACATTACTCACCATCATCTGAGACCACAAGCGAGAGCTCACACTCACACTCCCACTCACTCACTCACTCACTCACTCACTCACTCACTCACACACACACACACACACACACACACACACACACACACACACACACACACACTTCACAACATGGGCGACGGGAGCAGTGATTCTTTCTTTCAAACGCATGCATCACATCGCACCATTGTTTATACCGCTGCTGCTCTTTCATTAAGGTGAGTTAAACATTACGTGATAGTTGGAGGAGCTCTGTAGCCTGTAATCACCTGAGATGACCCCAGAACACATAAATACAAAGTCCATCCGGCCCGATAGAGTTTAAAGTAGCTGCTCGTCTACTCTGAGTGAATTCTGATTTACAGCCGCTCTTAAAAGACTGTTGGAGAGAACTAGCTGACAACTTGGGATGTGATCTGATCTGGCCTCGTCTCGCTAAAATGAGTCAGACGCAAACTCAGCAACAGCATGTCTACCTTCAGACACAAATAAACAGACTGTCTGATGTGTGATTAAAAGTACCTATGCGCACACTTGCTTTCCTGGCCCCATCGAAATATCCACTGCAGCCAACTCCGATTCACAGTTTGGGAACTTAAGCTCCAGAATACAGTGGAACCATGACAGCAATTTCTCTCAAGCAGGATGTTTTGAAACATGGATATCAGATGCAAATGCACAGCAATTACAGGAAAAAAAAAGTCCAACCCAGGCATCTTTGAAATTATGAGAAAATACAAATATGGTTTTGTCTCAAGAAACATGGCATGGTACCTCTGTAACATGGTTGATCCATTCTGAAAATTTACTCCCACTATTGTGGCCGAGGGAGGCAATTGTAGTCCAAAATGTTTGAATGAAACAGAATTTGGCTTTGTAAAAATGTGTCTACTCTAAATGTATATTTGATTGCACTGCTCTATATTATGCTGGAAATGACCAGGATCTTTAATCAGTGATGGCAAAAATTGGCTAGTCCAATTAGGGTTAAGGGATATGAATAGTTTTCAAAACTAATTTTGACAACAATGAAAATGGCAAATCTTTTTCATTGCTATCTTTGACTTCTTCCAAATTTGACCAGGGTATGAATTTCTTGGGACTTAACAGTACATCCATTACAAGTGTGACAAACAGGATCGGGCTCTAACCAACTAGCTACTTTACATTTTATTTGACATTTGTAACTTGAAAAAGGAGAGCGGCAGTTACTGGTGCCATTTTAGCACGGGCACAAATACAAAAAATGAGAACACTCACAAGGAGCATGGAGAAGACGGTAACACTGAACTAATTAGCCAGTCTGAATTGGAATAAGACGACCTGACTTAATTGTCTTGTCTTCTTATGTGAAAGTCACGGTGATTTTGATTAAAAAAAGAAACAAAAAACATCTGGTCCTGCCAGTGATGATAGTTTTCCCCTTCACTCATCTCAAGAGTCCCCAATTGTCGTTTGATCAATTGTCATGCGTGCGTGAGAATTAACAACATCTGGTCAAGCTGTTGATGACATTGTCGTGTCAGTTGTATCCCACAACAATGAAAACCACAGGGCGGGGTCTGTGACTTTTATCATTTGTTATATTTGTGTGTTGAGGAGCTGATTGGAAAGTTCTAGTGTGGGTTACAAGTTGGGTGGCGTCGTAGCTGTTCGGGAGAATATCAAGGGGATGTTCTTAACTGGTGGACTTTTCTACCGCAGGTGTTAGTGCAGTGCCATAAGAGCAAACATTTTTACTTTCAGACAGGATGCGAAGCTGGCCCGGGACAGCTGGCAGATTTCTCTTTATTTGTTTCCCCTTTGTTGCCCATCATCTGTCAAGCATTTGCCACATTGAACGGAATCTTATCCCTGACACCAGCTGTGGACGCCGACACACTTCTTGCTTTGTTTGTGATTTGTATTTGCACATCAGAACGAGCGTCTTGTTTCATGTGCTGTCTAACATCAAAGCTTGGAGGAGAATTGGATTTAATTCCTTCCGTGATCCAGGGAGATTTATTTGCTCTCAGCCCTCAGATTAACCCCATCGTGAAGTGCAGTGTGATTAAAGCATAACCTTTCTTCGGGCAGACTGTAAAACAGCAGAACTGATCTCTAATTTTGAGGACTGATTTACTACCCTCAAAAAGGGTTTTGTTTTGTTTTTTCTCGCAAGAACGTATCTTTGAGTTCAAACCAGATAAGGACAAAATAGATACACTCATTGTACATACCCACTTTACCCACTTATGCAATCACACAGTCCTGTCACAAGCAGTCATGGCAGATCACCAGATCTTGACAATACTCCTTTCAAATCTGCATTTCTGTGCATCACTGTCTTTTCAGCGTACTGTGACAATTGGTGTTGGCCTCTCCTAGAGCATTTTTCTGGGCAGACTGTCACAAATTGGAAATGCAAAGTTACACAGGATAGGCATATCCTTTTTCACCCAATTGCCACCCACTCAGGGCGAGTTAAATAAAACACAGTGTGGCTTTCACAGAGTGAATTTAGTTGCATGTTTATTTTGCCTCCTCCACTCATACTTCCAATTCCGTCACTTCAAACTTCATTTTGTACTGGGGTCCTTTCCAAATGTTCCTTGGTGGCCAAAACCTTTTAAGGGAGGTTTCAGGAGCCGGGTTGTCGTCTCCTCCTTACCTACAATTCCCTAATAAAGTAGCCTTATGGATAAACGTAGCTCCAACAACCCAGGACAACTTGCTGCTTCTTTGAAGCACTACTTGAACTCACCACGAAAGGAAGAAAAAAAAGATGCTTTTGTGCTAATGTATTACGTCTCATATCCACTTTTATACCTCTTGCTAACATAGCATGCAGTCTGTTACATTAAACAATTAAACACCAACCGGTGGGCATTTTGTAGAAGCGATAATTAGAATGCCATACTCCCTTTGTTCTTAAAGGTAATCTCTTCTTGGATGAAGGAAGTCAACCGAGACAAAGGTTTTAGTTCTGCGATTTCTCACTTCTGCTTTGGTGCAGTTAAAATGGAATGAGCTCGATGATGTGAAATGTAACCCTTATGTGAAATCAATTTATTTCTCCTTTCTTTGACAGATATCAATGAGTGCGAAATTGGAGCGCACAACTGTGACCGACATGCAACATGCACCAACACAGCAGGGAGCTTTAAATGCAACTGTGCTCCAGGGTGGATTGGCGACGGCTTCAAATGCACAGGTAACGCAAACATTAAACACATAAAAAAATGTGGATTTTACAAATGTAGACTTTATAATAACCCACCTCCTCAAAACACCATTCCATAATGTACTTTTGTTCAGAATTGGCAGTTTGATGTGAGTTAAAGCTTTTATTTGTTCAAATGTTTTTGACCATTTACTATACTGCACACAAATCGAAATCACATTTCATGTTATGTTTGAATGGTTTTTTTTTTTTTTTTTTGTAAAGATCTTGATGAGTGCTCCAATGGGACCCACATGTGCAGCAACAACGCCGAGTGTCTCAACACCATGGGCTCGTATCGGTGTGCGTGCAAGGATGGATTTTCTGGAGATGGCTTCCATTGCTCAGGTCACACATGCAAACCAGAAGCCTGTATTAGGTTGAACCAATGTAACACAGTATTAAGTGTTCTCAGACTGTTTTGCTTGACCTCCAATTGTAGACAGTGATGAGTGCGCAGAGAATGGTAACCTGTGTGAGAGCGGCCACTGTCTGAACATGCCTGGCGGCTACCGCTGCGAATGTGACATGGGCTTCATCGCCACCGCTGACGGCAAGGCTTGTGAGGGTAAGACAAGATCATGGCAACAGTGTCTGAGGCCATTTTTATTGATTTAAAATGGTTTCGTCATGAATGGTAACTTGTTTATCTTCTCGGAAAAAAGAAATCCATCCAAACAGAGAATGTATTCAAATGGGACTCATGAGGTATTGGAATGGGGCATGATAAGTCATGCACAAATTAACAGATTTGTTTTGGTTGATTCAGTTGCAGCGACACGAACGAAAAGCAGGATAAAGTAACCTACTCACAAAAAGATGTAGCAAAAGGTTAGTTTATCATTCCATCATAACATCTGCGGATTAATAAATAATCGATCAACTTGCAACAAAGCATTCTTAAAGTGTTTAGTTAGTATGTGACAATATTGTTTAATTTTCCCAGACCAGGTCAAAACACCAAACTACAAATGATTGCGTAAACAGTGACTGAAATGCTGGAGATGTGACTCCAGTCCCCAAAATAAGTGTGTGTGTGTGTGTGTGTGTGTGTGTGTGTGTGTGTGTGTGTGTGTGTGTGTGTGTGTGTGTGTGTGTTGGGGGTGGGGGGTATGGGGGCATCTGGTCACCTTATGTTAACACTTGGCAATTCATGGACCTGATTAGGAAACGGAGGTAATGGATTATTGCATTACAGAAGCTGACCTTAATGACAGTTATGAAATGAACACAAAAAAAAAAAAAAAAAAAAAAACAGGGAGCAAATGACTGTGATTCACAATTCAAGCAATTAAGTCTCAGGTTTTAATTTAATGAGTAGACTCAAGTCTTTGTGTGGATGTATCAGACATCTCGAGATGACCTTTTCTTGTCCTTCCTTTTCTCATCTCATAAGGAAAAGGACAAGAGCACAGTATGAAATCTTTAGTAAGCTTCTCTAGTTTTGTACAAAGTGTGTCAGAAACGTTTCAGGATCATCATCACAAAAGATATGTTTCAAATCAGAACTTCAAATACTGACCCACACTGAAGGGGTCCTTCAATGTGGGTCAGACGATCAACCTATGTGGCAACGCACCTGCCTTGAGCATCTGACAGTTCCTTGCTAAACAGAACATCACCAGGCTGGAACAACTTCTCTACCCACTCAATCTGGCTTCGTGCCATTCCTCTTCCCCGACCTCATACAGTGAAACTGTTTTGAAGATCTGCACAACATCAGGATGACAGGGAAGGCTGAGAAAGTACATTAGAGTCCAGGAGGCTTAGTTCAAAAGGGAAACCATGCAGTTTGGATTTGACACTAGTCCTGGAACTTTTCTGACACACCTCGTATACTTTATGTGCGTATCAGTCTTGAGATGTCATGCCATTTTTTTCTCAGCCCTGCCCCCAAAAGTGTCAAAACTGGAGAAATGCGAGCGAAGCCTTCACTTCCTCTTGCAAGCTGGCAATTTTCCACCCATGATCCCATAATCCCTCAACCCTGGGCCTGCCCCCCCCACCCCCCTCTCTTGTACCACGTCTTCATTATTTCATTCTTCCTCTCCCTGTCTATTTCACAGATATTGACGAATGTACCTTCGCTGACATCTGTGTCAATGGGCGTTGCAAGAACATTCCAGGCCTTTTCAGATGTGAATGTAGCATTGGTTACGAACTGGACAGGAGTGGAGGCAACTGCACAGGTCTGATGACCATTGACAATTGTTCCTGAGAAAAGTTTGTTGACAAAATATATTGTGCTCATGTATTTATATGGAAATGACACTTTGGAAACTTTTTTTTTTCATTCTTTCTCAGATATCAATGAATGTGCAGACCCAACCATTTGCATTAATGGGATTTGCGTTAACATCCCCGGAAGCTACCATTGTAACTGCCCCCCAGATTTTGAGCTTAATCCCACCCGGGTGGGATGCGTAGGTGAGACGCAATAGATCCTGTACATGTTAATGATTAGTTCCTGACAACATACAGAGGTGGATGGGGGGGAAAAATACACCAATGTTTGGGTTTTTTTACACACACAGATACTCGCTCTGGAAGCTGCTACCTGGATGTGCACCCCAGAGGAGACTCATCTGAGAGCTTGGACTGCTCCAATGAGATCGGAGTTGGTGTTTCAAAGGCATCTTGTTGCTGTTCGCTGGGCCATGCTTGGGGGAACCCGTGTGAATTATGCCCGTCTCTCAACTACAGTGGGTCAACAAGTCTTTTCTTTGACGTGACGTGTGTTGTACTTGTCTCTTCATATAGCCAATTTAGGGTACCGTGAGGTCGTTTGAAGTTTGCCTCAGCTTGTGGAATTGCAGCGAGCATGTCAACCCTCTATAAGCAAGAAAAATTGAGTGCGTGAGCCTACAGACTGTGAACAGTGACAGTGAGCTGTTTTGTATGATTACTCACAGGAAATGAACCAATTTGCTCGTGAGAACCCTTGAATCACTCCAAGTCATTTCCTGTTATTGTTCCTGTCAGCAGAAATGTCAGGCTTGGATAAATGTTGTCATCCAGTACACTGCCAGCATTCATGTTTCAGACTGACTGCTGAGTGTGTATATGTGTGTTTACCATAATTGATGTGACTGATAAAATGAGAGCGCTTTGTGCAACTCGCGTGAAAATTGCTAGCATATGGTCAGAAACCTTATAAGAAATGCTTTCTATGCACTCCCATCTATGTTTCGCAGGAACAAAGCTCCACCAGGTGACCTTCTTATAGATTTGTTGAAGTTTTTTTTTTTTGATTTGTCCTTGCTCCCCACAGCCGAGTATAAGACCCTGTGTCCAGGTGGTGAAGGCTTCAGACCAAACCCCATCACTGTCATCTTGGAAGGTCAGATGCAAACATTTGACCTTGAATGACTCCTACACGGAAATGACATCCTCATTGTGATGTTTTTTCTCTGACAGACATCAATGAGTGTCAGGAACTGCCGGGCTTGTGTCAGGGAGGAGAGTGCATCAACACCTTTGGGAGCTTTCAGTGTGAATGTCCAAGAGGATTCGCACTCAACCAAGAGACCAGAGTCTGTGAAGGTATTGAATGATGATGCACCCAACAGACACATCGTCAGGCATCTCCAAAATAACTATTTATTGGGAAATCCCCCTCCAGAGCCCCCAAAGCATCTTGCTTGAGTTACCACATTACTTTATATTGCCGTCATATACTGAGGTGCATCAACACCAATATAACACTGCCCCAAAATAATGTTCAGTCCCTACTTAAACATGTAAAAAAAAAAAAAAAAAAAAAAAAAAAAAAAAAAAAAAAAAAAAAAAAAAAAGCTAATATATAACGTTGCCATTGATTAAAAGTTTAGGACATGGCCACCACCACGAGATTTCCAACATCACAGTCATACTTCACAAAAGCAAACGACTGTGGTTATCTATTCTTCTTAAAACGAATGATGCAATAGATAAAAAACTAACTTCCAAAACCGTGTAATAGGCGGAAATGAATCTGCTTGCACTTTCCTTAGTGGCTGACCAGTTCCTTGTGTACTAAAGCAGTAGTACAGTTATCGAACTAAACAGGCTTACACACATTTATATAACCTATATATGTTCACTCATTGTCTATAAAACATCCGGACAATCAATCTTGAGCCACTATAATGCCACATAGTTCCCTCAAAATAAGGGAAGACATTTGAGTGTTCAAGAAAGGTAAAAAAATTGCTCTCAATCTATTTTCAACATCTGAATAATGTGTAAAAATATCAGACGACGTTTGGGCAGACCAATAGTAATAAAACCCTTTGGCAAGGCAGTACAACCAGCACTGTTCTAAAGGCACAACAACATTGAATGACTTACATTGAATTTTAATGACGTCAGACACTGTGTTCTCTCTTTTACAGTATTCTCTTTTACCTTTCTGAGTTCATTGATGCAAGACAACTAAAACTGACCTGCAGGGACTGATGTTCGAACCCGGTAGTAGTCACATTAACTCCGATGGGTTTTTTTTATAACGTATCAAAAGAAGAATTCTTGGCCACAGCATTAAGAGCAAAAATGTTAGCTTTGAGTGTTGTTTAACTTCTTTATGATGAGTTCTTAAAAGGGCCAAAGGGGTGCTATTATTGCCCAATACATTCATTCCATGCATTGTAAAGTTTGGACGGTTGTCAACTGGATCAGATTTTGGTGTACTCACGGGGATAGTCCATTGTAGCTTCGACTCAACCACACATAGACAGTTACAGAGGTGTGGTTATCATGTTTCATTTTTATAATCTTTATTCCCACGCCCATTCTGACTCACAAATGATCCGATTTCACTCATCTCTCTCTGCAACCACAAATGTTTTTCACAAACGCACAATCAATCTCCTGGACTTTTATTCCTTGAAATACTGCCGGGACATGCACTCAGTCTTTTGGTGAAACCACACTGTCTTAAAAATAGAACACAGATGTGGCATAGCTTTGAAATGAATCTTACCTTAAATTTAAAAATGTGTATAAATAAGTCAAATATGTGTTTGTTGGATTGAACCACTCATTTCATTTGGAAACTTGAATGCAGAGTATCAAAAAACGCATAAAATGGTTACTTTCTCAAATACTTTGGGCAAGTACTTTCCGACAGTGCAAGTAGTAAGTGAATAATGTGAATCGAATAATCTTTTTGTGTGAGCAGATATCAACGAGTGCGAGCGTCCAGGTATTTGTGGGCCTGGCCAGTGTTACAACACCATTGGAAACTACACCTGCATCTGCCCCGTGGACTACGTGCAAGTCAATGGAGGCAACAATTGCATGGGTACGTCTGATATATATGAAGTCCAATTGTCCTCAAGGAGTTTATTTGTCACTTTAAATTCAACAAAGACAATATCAGACACTTGAGATACAGTACACTGGTAATTCACAACAAATCTCAAAACACATCTCACAATTTGTGCTCAAATATCCGTTGCTGAAGGCCTTGTAATGCCGTCACTTAGATGCTATTCCTTAGCCCTTGTATGGTATTTCCCATTGTGTGTTAGCAATAAACTTGCATCCTTAAAGGCAAAGGTATGTGGTTGTTTTAACTACACAAAGTGTAATTCCCTTTGTTTTATGTTTACTTTGACAATAAACTTCAACAATAACCTGGATTGCAACAATCAATTTCTATTTTGTAATCACTTCCAGATATGAGGAAGAGCTATTGCTACAGGAACTTTTATTCCGACAACAGAACATGTGACGGAGAGCTAACCTTCAACATGACCAAAAAGAAGTGCTGCTGTGCCTACAACATTGGCCGTGCATGGAATAAACCCTGTGAGCAGTGTCCTGTGCCCAGCAGCGGTGAGGTCCCATATACTCACACACTCACAAACTTACAAAAGAATGGGTGAAACAAAAGTGAATTTGTCTCCGCTTAGATGAGTTTGCCAACCTGTGCGGCAGTGAGAGACCAGGATATTATATCGACATCACTACTGGAAGAGTTATCGGTAAAAGTTGACTGATGACAAATGAGCCACGTTTACTGACTTTGCTTACAAGCTATTTTGCATTCAATATTGATCTTGCTCCTTTGCACTAGATATTGACGAATGCCGGGAAATCCCAGGCGTGTGTGAGAATGGTGTATGCATCAACATGATCGGTAGCTTCATGTGCGAGTGCCTCAACGGCTTCATCTACAATGACAAGCTACTGATTTGTGAAGGTACAAGATTGAACGACTTTTCTTAACTTGATGACAACTCAAGTTAATACAAAATCCCCTCCTCCCGTTCTTAGATATCGATGAGTGTCAGAATGGGCCTGTGTGCCAACAGAATGCAGCCTGCTTAAACATGCCCGGGAGCTACCGCTGCGAGTGCAAACCTGGATATCGCCTCAGCCCGACGGGACAATGCTTAGGTACAGTATGTCCTTCGATGACTTGGTGTTTTGAATGTAGCTTTGACACTCCACTCATTTTACAGTGGTTCCGATGACTCCTAATCTGTCAGGAAATACTCTAAGGCTCTGGTAGTAACTGTAGAAATGTAAACAACAGAGAGGGCACTGGTTGTAGCTGAAGCTGCTCTTGCCAGATACTCGTTTGTAGATGACATTGTACATAATATGGATTATCGCGTTCGTGGTGGGAATTATTACATTAATGCCATGCACAATTTAAACAATAAGTAGAATATAAATAGGCAATCCCCTGTTTGTCGCAGGGGATAGATTTTGAACCCAACTGCAATAGGTGAAAATCAGCAAAATAGGAAGACTATGTCATTTTTGGATGGTTTTACCTCCCCGCAATGCTTTCAAACTTAGTTTGAAAAAATACTTTTAACATTTGAAAGTGTTGAAGTGCCCTTCAAATAAGAGGCAATGCCAGATGTCATTAAGCTGTTTATTTGTCATTCCCAGTTGAGGTTTACTGTTAAACCAAGTCATACAACAAAAGAGAATGAAACATTGTATGTTAACATACCAGCATTTTCTTCCAACCATATCATTTCATTCAACCAAAGTCCACTAGCTTAATGCTAACGTATAATGTAAAACTTCATAGACGAGGTCCTGGGAACTAGCAAAGATGTTATGGTAAATTTCAATCTTCAAAAGCTACTACTTTACCACACATGAAGCAGCAATGCACACAGAGCATACAAGAATACCAAAGGCGTATATTCTCTCTGCCTTTTGCTCTTTTGCTTCACCTTTTCAAGAAGACCTCAGTGCCACCCTACTCGGCTTGTTGTGGCACAGTGTCATGGTCCACTGAAGGCGTGTAACTCTGAATTCGGACTTCCCTGTATACTGTAAAAACACATGACATTGCTGAAAATTCTGCAATTTACCGGGTCTATGTATGAGATTGTTTGTCTTTCCCTCAGATCGTAATGAATGTGTCGAGAACGCCGGTGCTTGCAATCCTGGTCAGTGCATCGACACACTGGGGAGCTTCCGATGCATCTGCCCCAATGGGTTTAAAACAACCCGGGACCAGTCAATGTGTGTTGGTAAGACATTTTTTACCCTGCCGTTGTTGTTCTGCCTACATGTGAGCGCTAGCTCATTTGATCTTAAAATGACATTTTTAGACATGGACGAGTGCGAGCGACAACCCTGCGGCAACGGGACCTGTAAGAACACCGTAGGCTCGTACAACTGTCTCTGCTACCCCGGATTCCAGATTTCACCTAACAGTGATTGTATAGGTACTGTACATGCATGCAGAGGACATGAGAACCGTAGCATGGGTTTTAAAGGTAATGAACAAATTTGTTTTGTGTTGTGTTTAGACATTGACGAGTGCTCGAGCCAGAGGGCTCTTTGTCGTAACGGACAGTGTGTGAACACCGTGGGCAACTTCTTGTGTGTGTGCAACGATGGCTATAAACTTTCGCCAGACAGAAGACTGTGCGTCGGTAAGAAAGTTTTGCTATTTCCAACTGTACTCTGCTGTATGATGTACTCATTTAAAACTGCTCCCTTTCTTCTCAGATATAAATGAATGTGCCGTAAATCCTGGCACATGCGGCGTCGGCACTTGTTTGAATCTGGATGGCTCGTACAGATGCATTTGCCCACCTGGATATTATCTCCATGCAGACACCTGCAAAGGTAATCTTAAAATGAAAGCAGGCAGTCACTCACGAAGCATCACACTAGTGCTTAGGCCTGTCTAGATCCCCACCAAAATGGTTTCTTCCATTAACCGTTCCGTATCCCTTCGCTAAGTTTAGCAGACATTAGAACATAGTTTTTGGTTTTATGCTCGTAACATACAAACGTACATTAAACTACAGGCCAAAACAGAAATGGCTGCCTTACACTTTTTGCTTGGTGCAGGGGTAAATGCTGAACAACTCATGTCATAAACATGGTGGCTATGCTTTGGGTCGCAAAAGGGTGGAAAATTTGTGGTAAATTTCTGGTAAATTTCCTTGGGAGGTTAAGATGGGGAATATTGGAAATAATTCATTTTAAACATTTTGTTTTGTCATAAAGCCCTTGTGCCGCGAGACATGTTTGTTGACATGTCCACAATCTCTTGGCAACAAGAAAAAGTATTTGCGACCATTGAGGCTGTTGGCGAACATCTGGCCAACAGTTTTGAACCGTTTGCGACCTTGAACGAACCCTGACGAAAAATCACATTCAACACTTGCAAACCTTTGCCGCTCAATGGGATACGGAATTGAGACTTGCATGCCGAACAATGCATTTAAAAAGAGTGACATTTCAGCAGATTTATTTCAAAGTACAACTTATATCAAATTTTACATATTTTATTTACCAATCAATTGTTTAACTGAATAACAAAAACACAAACGTCAAGTGAGATACCGTAATTGTCCTCCCCTGACCCAACCCATTCAAAAATTCACAAAAATGCAAGTTCAACGAGAAGAGCCCCCTTCCCTTCAAAAATGTCTTCACCTCTGGGTTTTTGCTCAACCCTTTCAGGCAATGAGCTCTTCGTATTCAACTGTGTTTGCATGGATTCTGGTTGTTTTAGTCAGTATTATGATAAAATATATTTTCCTTGAAGCATTTGGACACACACTGCATGGCTCAAGTTGAACATCAGTGACCTTTTTTTACATTCCATCTATCATTCATTCCATGAAGTGCTTCATCTTTTCTCACGATCGCGACACACTCTCTTTCGCTTTCTACTACCTACCGTGACACATACTGTTTATACCATATGCACACATACCCTGTTTGCTTGTTAAGTGTCTAAATTTGTCTAACTTCAAACCTGTTGGTATTTTTCTCCCTTATATTGGATGTGACAAGCGGTAATTCACCGCCTATTTTTTATCTTCTACTCAAAAGCTGTGCTGACCACAAACCCAAGGCAACTCCTCTATCCACAGGGATCTGTTAGCTGTTACAGTTTGTTACTACCCTGAACTTCACAGGCAAGCTGGGAGAGACCCTTTTCCATTCCCACTCGTTGAAAAACATACATGACAAACATTTACCAATTGGATTCCCGATGACGAATATAAACATCCACAGCAGTGAACGAAATTAAGAAACAACCATGTTGTAAATTTCTCCAAAAGTTACCGATATATGGAACCATAATTTCATATTAGGGCACTTTGCTTCCAGAATAAATAAATTCCCTGAATTAAAAAGAAGACAATGTTTTTTGAAAGTATCCCCCCAAATTTGTCAGTTTTCTTCCTTCTTGATTCCTAGTAGGTTCCTAGTCGATGAGAACAAAGTTTTGCCTGCGCTGCTCCCCATCCATTTCTCTTTCTCTTCTCCTTCTCACACGTGGGAGTGGGCCGAAGCTAGAATGCTTGGATTGTTTATGTAGTGGTGCTGATGAAGAGATATTCGGCAGACTTCAACACATTCCTACAAAGGGCTCTGTTTTTGGAAGCGGGGAGAAACAGCCCTAAATGCTGAATATCACTAAGAGAAGCAGCTGGCCATTTTATGACGACACGCATGACAGCAAGGTTATTCCCCTGTCATGTTCTGTTCAGAAATCACAGACTCTATTTGACTAAACTGATTTACTGACGTTCCCGATTAGACTTCATCACCATTAACCCTGACACAGAGGAGGAAACAAAACAAGCGCCAAGGGGAACTTCTGTGCTGATTCTGATTTGATTTTCTTTATTTACCAGACATTGATGAGTGTTCGCAGTCGCCTGAGATCTGCATGTTCGGAACCTGCTCCAACACAGAGGGAAGCTTCACTTGCTTATGCCCCGAGGGCTTCCAACTATCTGCCTCGGGACGCAGATGTTTAGGTAAGTATGTGAGAGAAACAAGACGACAGTATTTTGAAACGATGCTATAGATGGGGCGCAAGCCTTGTCTGTATTAGCTTTATCCCTCTGGACCGACCACCGTCCCACTCCTCACTCGCGCATGTGTGTGTTTATGTACTGCGTGTGCGTGTTTAGGGCTTGGGTGGGGGCTGCGGCGAGTCCACTGTTAGGGAGTTCCTTTGAAACACTCAAGCGATGACATCACCTGTTCTGAGGAGGTGGATTAAAGTTTGCATTTCACCCCTCTCCCTTGCGTCAATCGTGCTTGGCCGAAGGGCGGGGGATGAATTAGCGCAGCAGGGTGGAGGGTGAGAAACACGGGCAATAAATGAGATCAAGAATGAATCCTGTCACAATTGTTTAAGGGTTGCTTTTGTCAAAAAAGGATGATTGACATGCAAAGAATGGAAAAAGCGACACTGTCAAAGTCACTACACATGTATTTTGTTTTGGGTATCATTCAGGCTGATGTGTGGCCATCGGAATTTGATATTTTATAAACTACAAACGTACAAATTTGCAGCACTGTTCCAATGTTAATTGATGAGTCGTGGGAAAAGGAATGATGTGCTTACAAACATTGCAAAGCCTCAGCTGTCAAATGCTAATGGTCTCATGTCCGTCCAAACGATACCCGTAATGAAGACGATATGAAATGAAGGTATCAATTTTGTGACTTTTGAGACACCCTGTGTAGATTTCGTATTGCGTCACATCAGTTACATATCATGACTTTTTCTAAGTCTTTGGTGTCATTGATGTTATTCTTGTGATACCATCTGTCATTGATGTAAACCAGTGCTTTGTCCGTGTTTATAATTTTGCACACGACATCTGTGCACAAGGCATCACGTGTTTTGCGGAAATATCTGCGGATTGGTTTTGTGGAGTAAAGCAAGTAGACCCACGAAGTCGCTGTGTACACAGCACCAAGTGTTCATGTCCGCGCCAGGTGTGTGTGTGTGTGTGTGTGTGTGTGCGTGCGTGCGTGCGTGCGTGTGTGTGTGTGTCTGTGTGTGTGCGAGGGCGCGGTCTGTGGTGGTCAAGACACTTATTTGTGCAGTTGGGTGAAGAGCTAGCAGGAGAATGTGACCATGTGCTTCTCATTACAAGTAAGAGCCAAGAAGAACAAGAGTCCTCACAGTCCTCTCCATTTGCCAACCTCCTCAAGTCGAGTCAAGCATTTTACCATAAAGCCAAAACAACAACAAAACAACGCCCTTTGACATTCTTATTAAGCTTAAAATTTAAACTTTAAACTCTCACGGGAACAATTTTATGGAAAATGTGTTCATTCAGTAAGTCCGTATGGCAAAGGTTTAGTAGAGTTCTTGTTAACCTAATTTGTGATCAGACAACTTCTGGGTTCCAAGAATGATAATGAATGATATTAAACCTTAAACCTGACAAAAGCCATTACGAACACGTTGGGCAATTCCTTTGATGGCACAGTGATTCCAAAAAAAAATCTCCTCACCGAACTGTATTGCTCTGCCACTCACGACAATGTTCCACTGAAATTTGTTATGTAATTGTGAACTGAAAAACACCCATCAGTAATTTCACTTTCAGCATTGACAGACAGTAGAAATGTTGTACAGCGAGGTTCTTACTACGCAATTATATTTGATTGAGTCAAGTTCACTTTTTTTGTCACGCTCAGCTAATGCTAACAATGGCTGATGTCCTTGTATTTCAATTCACGGACAGACAACAAAGTCCGGCAGATTTGCAATCTGTTCAATCTGATGCACAGTCGTTGTTTTGACTCCAGCGGATTCCTATTTACAGTATACCCTTCTTTATAAAATGAGTTTATTTCATTTGCATTATTTTTTGTATTGCGTTTTCATGCAACACAGTGGTATTTTTATATTATATTCCCCCAAAAATCTGAGGGTTTGCGGGGGCTTGAACAGATTTGTGGAATTTCATTGGGGATTATTGATTTAATATGCAAATAAACTGATTTAGGAGCTTGGTAACAGAACACATAAACTCACAGTACCACTCGTTTAGCTTTGAGCATATACTTAGACTTAATTCAAAATATTTTGGCCTGTCTTACTGTTTCAAACTGTGTGATCTGTTTGTCTCATTTTTTTCTCCTCTATTGTTCCATTTCATGTGTTTGCCAATGTTTAGATGTACGCGTCAACTACTGCTATACAAGGTTTGAAAATGGACGATGCCAGGTTCCAAAGCCTCAGAACACTTCCAAGGAAGAATGCTGCTGTACCGGAATGCCGGGTCAAGGCTGGGGAGATCCCTGTGAAATCTGCCCTGGCAAGACAGAAGGTAGGTTTCCATGACACGGGCCAAAAGAACACCCTGACAGGCATGCAGATTCATACAAGACATTTTTTGCAATTCACGAATTGTGTGATATCATGTTGCAGAGGCGTATCCCCTCCTCTGTAAAAATAAGGGATATCAACGTGGGCTCGATGAGATTCCAAAAGGTATGAGTGTTATCTACCATGAATCTTTATCCTCCGACATATCACGTTAACTTTGCTTCCCTCTTAGATATTGATGAGTGCCTCAACAACCCCTGTGAAAACGGCGAGTGCATCAACACAGACGGTTCTTTCCGCTGTGAATGTCAAATGGGGTACCAACTTGACATCACCGCATTTACATTTAATTGTGTAGGCAAGTGAAGTGTCTCTTATTGTCCATTGTCACTCACTTTCTTTCCTACATGGGCCGATATTGACATGCATTCAATATGCATGTCCATTTCAGACATTGATGAGTGCGACATTGGTAACCCCTGCGGAAACGGCACTTGCACAAATGTCATCGGAGGCTTTGAGTGTGCATGTGAGGAAGGCTTTGAGCCTGGTCCGATGATGACCTGCGAAGGTGTGTGACATTTAGTCTGTTTTTCTAACTGGAAAAAAAATGATACTCTGGACCAACTTCAGAAAGATGAATCTAATTTGTTACACCTAAAGTTTTTAGTTTGTCGCAAATTATACATATGATTTGGTTCAAACCTAGCATTTTGATTTCAATAATGTCCATATCTGATCACTTTCTAATTATTTTTTTTCCAACCAGCCTACTTTATTGTCCGTTTTTAGCATATAATTTATCTTGTTACCACTGGACTTCTGTAATTTTTAATATTTTTTTTTTCTGGTGCTCTCTTCCAGACATCAACGAGTGTGCTCAGAATCCTCTGCTGTGTGCATTCCGCTGTGTTAATGTAGTGGGCTCCTATGAGTGTAAATGTCCAACAGGATATGTGCTGCGTGAAGACAAGAGGATGTGTAAAGGTACTACAACTCCAGGACTAAGCAGTCCGAAACGCAGCTCTTTTAGTCACACACCATTTCACATTAAATACTTTATATACACTCCTTGTGAAGTTACATAACTATTTCCTCAAGCCTTTTTAAAGCCCGAGGAAATGTAACCAGATGAGTCACTGTTTACACCTCCACTGTCTCAGATGGCGCGGGGACCATGGCAACCGTTGTATTTGGAGGGAAGCGCCGAGACAGAAGGAACCTCTCAATGTCTATAGCGTCATTGTTTATATCCCAGCTCCAAACAGACCACCAACTCTCTTACTACTTGCCGATATTCAACTCCTTTTCCATGCCAGTGTCATATTGAGCAGATTAATGGAGACCATATTGGGGCTCTGTGTGCATGTAGCAATTAACAGATGAATTGCCCTGCAACGAATAGTGAAAATGCCCAAATAATTGATGGCCAGCTGGTGGCGAAGCACTCAAAACGGAGAGGATCATAAAGCATCAACACCACCCATCTAGCATGTATTTAATCATGAATTCATGGTACATCGATGACGATATTCACTAGTTAAACTATCCACCACATGGATGGATGGATACAAATCACCTTTACGTGAGGCTCATTAGTCGTATTTGCGAGCAGAAGCCTAAATAACACGAATTGATGTAACATCACGAATGGGAAACCAAATGTACAAGAGGACTTCACACAAACAGTATGAAGTCATTAAACTTATCTTTTGGCATTTACATATGATAGTTCATGTCAGGAAATACAGGTAACGGCAACGTAGACAGCATGGCAAAGAGTAGCTACATCGGGAGAGAAGCAGAAACTTTCAAAGCTAATAAGTCCAAGAACATTTGCGGCAATGTTTGAAAAAGTGAATATGCAAATTTGAATATCAATAATTTGTAACAAATAAATGAATACATAAATACATAAAAAACACCCACGCATGTGGACTGACCAATAGTATAAGATACATATGTGAATAAAAATGTGAGATTTACCAGATTGTGACATAGGAGGTTCCGGCCCAACGCCAGCAAATTAGACTGTAGGTACATGCTGTTATTTTTATCGTTAATAGATAATGCATAGTACGTTTGTCTTGCAGACCAGAATGAATGTGAAGACGGTCTAGATGATTGTGCCAGCAGAGGAATGACCTGCAAGAACCTTATAGGTACATTTATGTGTATCTGCGCACCTGGATACACACGCCACCCGGGTGGAGATGGCTGCATAGGTAAGACTGTTGAAACCTATTGCTCATTGTTCTTTATTGTGGCATTAACCCCAAGATTTTGCAAGTGTAGATTGTATATTTCAAGCACCTTATAAATCAGATGCATAATTTTTCTTCTTCTTCTTCTTCTTCTTTATGAAACTAGACGTTTGTTTGGGCTTTATTTAGACTTTTAGAGTGTTTAAAAACAAGAGAGTAAAGTAAATGGAAATGCCCACTTTTAGCCATACCTTCAAGGTTGGTTTTAAAAACACATTGCGTTGCATTCTGTATCTGTAAAAGCAATATCAAATTCAAACAGCTAAATCTTTACCTTTGTTTCGACAATGTCTTCCCAAACAAACTGCTTGCATGTATGATGTCATGCAGTTGGGTGCTGACGGTGAACGTTTATAACGAAGGTATTCTTCTTTTGTATGTCCGCTTCAGATCTGAACGAATGTACAGCCAAACCGGGCATCTGTAAGAACGGCCGTTGTGAGAACACGCTGGGAAGCTATCGCTGCAAGTGTGACCAGGGATTCATAGCTAACCCCACACAGACGGAATGTATTGGTAAGTATGTGCACCATACGCACCTAACTCTGTACACGTGCAAACTGGACAAACAGTTGATGTTACATTTGTTCAACGTGGATGAAAATGGTCGTGCACCTTTCTTGTCGATTTTTAGCCCCTTTGTGGCACTTTCCCATCTCGTTAATAACCACGTGTTTGTAACTGTCAAGATAAAGGAAATCGTTTCACAGGCTTCCTCCCTAATCTAAATATATACTTCAGATTCAAAGTGATGTACTGAAGCCGGTGAGAAACACTCCAGGGAAACCGAGGTCTCAGTTGCTATCTGGCTTCTGACAGACATTAGTGATTGTGCGCGTGGGTTATCTCCTCACGTCTGGTGCTGTCTGGGTGGCTTTGTCTGCTTCCCATTAGCCACCTCTTTGTTTGTCTCGCTCTCACGTTCCCTTCCCCGTGTCTCCCGACATCTAGATAACCGCGAGGGCTTCTGTTTCACTGAGGTCCTGACTACTCTGTGTCAGATGACATCCAGTAACAGAAACATGGTGACCAAGTCGGAGTGTTGCTGTGATGGGGGCAGGGGCTGGGGCAACAACTGTGAGCTTTGTCCACTCCCTGGGACCACCCACTTCAAGAAAATGTGCCCTCTGGGACATGGATACACCACTGATGGCAGAGGTATTCGAGAATTTCGAGTGAAATAATCCGTCTAATGAATCGAAGCCTTAAGAACAAACGGCATCGAGTTCCCAAGTAACCGCTCTGTCACTTTAACGCTTTAGCAATGAGACACGAAAGCAGGTACTCTTACAAAGATGCTGACGCTATTCTGTATTTCACTTTGTTAACATGAACGCTTCTGTTCAGATATTGACGAGTGCCGTGTGATCGGGAACTTGTGCAAGCACGGCCAGTGTGTCAACACTATTGGCTCGTACAACTGTGTCTGCAAACCCGGCTACACTACAGACATCACTGGCTCTCAGTGTGTGGGTAAGCTTACAGTTCACAGCCATCTCACTTCATTTTATGGACTGTTTTCTTGCCGTGCCAACCTCTTGTTTACGTTCCTGCCACCTTGGTAAGGGCTAAAACCACACGGGTAGATAGCTCACACACGCACCTGAGAAATACAGCCCGAGTCTGCTGATCTCATCATCGGCTCTTATGGAATACTGTATTTGTCGAAAAGATCAAGCAGTGTCTCACTGTTATGTGTCATTGTAGATGTGGATGAGTGCATACAGGCACCAAAGCCTTGTAACTTCATTTGTAAGAACACAGAGGGTGGATATCTATGTTCCTGTCCCCGTGGATACATCCTACAGGAAGATGGAAAGAGCTGCAGAGGTGACACACGCACACACAGCAAAAGAACCTCATAGCAGCTGTCCTCAACTGTTTCCAGGTTGGACCCGCAGTACTGCTGAGTAGACCTGGCCCCCTCCCAGTATAATGCTTGTTCTATTCTGGGCCGTCTGCGTGCTTGCATTTAATCACAACATGCACCCAAATCTTCTATTTATCAGGCTTGTTTTACTGCCTAAAACTAAATCCTCATCAGTGTTTATGGCTTCTCTTATCTGTATTATTCAAACTTGAGCTCCCCTACCTCCATCGTGCCCCTTTGTGCAGTGGCGCTTTTTGATATGTACAATATGTACCGCTGCACCAAGGTTATTTGAGGTAACGAAATTGAACAAAATAACTCAAAATTTGAAAAAAAACATTTTTGTTAACAAAAAAAAGTTTTTAAAAAATGCTTTAAAGAAAACAATAACTAACTGAAAATACTTTTTACACTTAAAAAATTAACTATAACTAAAGCCACAATGTAATTCTCTTTTGTCTTTGGTGTGGTTGATTTTAAAGGTACCGGTATGTATTTTGAAATTACTGCACAATCGTTAGCCGGAAGTCGTCTGGGAGTTGTGGTCCTCTTAGAGCTCTAACGCGTGTGTGTTATACATACACACACACACACACACACACACACACACACACACACACACACACACACACACACACATATATATATATCTCTCTCGCAGGTTTAATTCTTCTCAACAGGAATTCAAGACACAAATCCACTTTGGAAGTTGGCAACTTGGCAAACAAGGCATTCTAGCTTTGTTTAATTAGGGTGTGTGCATGCATTCATGCATCTAACTTTTAGAAGCGGTGTTATGCAGCACTGCACGTATTGTAATTCAAATTTTTCTGACACAAAACACAACAAAACTAATAGCATCAATAAAATAAACCCAAAGGAAAAAAAACTAAAACTAACAAAGCCAGCCTGAAAAATACTTAAAACTAACTCAGTACAAAAAATAAAACTCACTAAAACTAACTGGATTTAAAATTCCAAAACGATAATCGCCATGGGCCGTCGAGCAAGGCGTGAAATGGTTTTCCCATGATAAATCACTGACCTTTGTATGGAAAATTTACACCCTCTTCTGGGGAAGGGTGTTTAGATCTTTAAGGATTATGCTACTAAACAAATTGAGAGGTCATCGTCATCAAGGAAGATTGACATTTTCATTGATCGATGAGCTGAGGAGCTAATGTTCACTCGTTGTTGGCACTATCCAAGCTTGGACCGCCACTGCCCCTTTTTTCTGCCGTCAGGTTCATTTGCAGTTCACTTGTAGGTCACTGACTGTAGATGGACTGGAATTTGACTCCGACAAATGAGAAGCTCCCCCATACAGTTGTGCGTGCAATCATCTCACACTAGTCTTTAACGACGATGATGTCATGTCTCCCGCTTCCTTTCCAGACTTGGATGAGTGCTCGACAAAACAGCACAACTGCCAATTCTTGTGTGTCAACACCATCGGCGGCTTCACCTGCAAGTGTCCCCCCGGCTTTACCCAGCATCACACTGCCTGTATCGGTAAATGAACACAAGCAGAACATGAATTGACTTCCACATGTAAATATTTCTGTCCTCGGAAGTGCTCTTGTGTCTGTGTATACCTTAAAGGGATGAGCCGGATAAACATGTTGAGTCATGAGGCGCTCGTGACTTCCTGTAGCCCATACGCACATGTCGTCTCCCTTCCCTGCGTCACTTGTATCCTCAAGCCTGCTTCGTCATCGTCTTCAGTGAACTCTCTTTGATGTCACACTTATCTTATTAGACTATACTCATTTGTAGTAGCGCAGCGTCGGGAGTCTTTGTTATGGAACTCAGCAATGGATTGTCATGACAACCACAAGCTTTTTTCCAGACCATAAAGCAGCTCCCATGACCTCATATCCATCCAGAGGCAAAGAGCTCTCAGTGCCAAGTATACGATGGAATAGCCGATGACAGCGTATGACACATACATAGTAGTGTGTTCCTAATTTGTCAACAAAATTGTTGGAGAAACTGGTAGTCCACAACACACCTGTTTCTGAACATTAGCGGGAGTTGCTCATAGGCTAACCCCAATTACGGAAATCAACACTTTTCATGGCCTACTTGAAGCACTATAAATAGTTCTTCATAATTTAGAGCCACTCGTTCTTCACAATCAAGGTTTACTACACAGTCACTGGTTCTCGCATGCACATAATAAGATGTTGATGATGGTCTGAGGTTCAAACTTTCTATAACTTTACTCTTGAAACTGACATCTCAATAATATTAACCATCAGCTGCAACATCACAACTACAGTTCGTATACGTATGTATAACAAAATCTCCCGAACACGTGGAAAAAAAATGTGTTAGGGTCGGATGAAACCAAGGTTGAACTTTATGGCCATCATTCCAAAATGTATGCTTGGCGCAAACACAACACTGCTTATCACCGACAGTGAAGCATGGCGGTGGCAGCATCCGGCTTGCTTTTCTCCAGCTGCATCTGGAGCCTTTGTCAAGGTGGAAGGAATTATGAACGGTTCAAAACCTTCAGTCTTCTACCAGAAAGCAAAAAAAAAAAAAAAAACCCCAAAACAAAAACATCCTTTCTACAACATCTGAACTTTATTTGGGGTTAATGTGAGGCACTTTAAATGTTGGCAGGTGTGTACTGACTCCCATTTAACAATTGGAATGCGATTTGTCCATTTTGAACACATTCCAGTTATGAGAAGGTGTGCAAACTTGTGCAACCACATTGTTTCAGCTGCTTTTCCCCCCTTGCCCTCTCAGAAAGATTACAAATAATTGTTTTTTTTTTTCAGTTATGTTCCTTAGGTGACATTAATACTCTGAAAACATTCAGTTGTGCGTGCTAATATCAGCATCAGTGTATATCATTCACAAATTGTGACATACGGTATTATGCCGTCTGTCAAAGAGCTGAAGGGTTGATGAAATGACTGAAATCCCAACAAGATAACATATGCTGTACATGTGCTTCCATGAAAAAAAAATGTGTCCAGGTGGAGCGAATGCTGTGGCCAGTGTCTGAATATCGGGCCACCGTATTATGCTCACTTCCATTCCGTTCTATTTAGCACTTCTGTCCTATTTTGTTTTAATCCGAACCATTCCTCTTTTGAATGTGTTAGACAACAACGAATGCTCAACAGACCCGAATCTCTGTGGCGCCAATGGTGTTTGCCAGAACACTCCAGGGAGCTTCAGTTGCGACTGCCAGCGAGGATTCTCATTAGACCCCAATGGGCAGAACTGTGAAGGTCTGAAAACAGATGGCAAGCATTGTCTCAGTCCTGGCTGATCAAATACAAAAGTTTGACTCATTTTCTGATGTTTTTTTGCATCACAAAGACACTGACGAGTGTGACGGCAACCACAGGTGTCAGCATGGCTGTCAGAACTTAGTGGGTGGTTACCGCTGCAGCTGTCCACAAGGTTATCTGCAGCACTACCAGTGGAACCAGTGTGTGGGTAAGCAAAACACTGGTTCGTTCTTTTGTCTTTCTCTTATCAATATACAGTAACCCCTCTCACCCCATTGCACGGTTACATTCTTGACCACCCTTGCAAAAGTGAAATCTGCAACATAGAAATACCCTATTTAAATACTGCCCTTTTTTAAAGGTCATAAACATACCTTTGAAGTAAACATTTAAAAGCGAGAAAGTAAGGGCAGTGAATAACACAAAAATATTGGACAAACGTTATGACAGGGTACCTATCCTTCTGTTTACAGTAAATGTTGGCTTTCCCAAACAAACACTTTCACAATCAACTCTCACAATAAACATCAATAGTTATACGCATGGAGCTGTACATCACAAAATGAACCTGCAGCCTTGAAATACTTCCTGTTTTCACTCTCACTCTTCTTTGAAATTTACAGTGTTTAAACATGAGACTGTGCTAACATCTAGTGGCCCAAAATAGAATTACACCCAAAACAACTACCCGCATTTTCTGCACTATAAGGCGCTTCAGATTATAAGGCGCTCCTTCAATGAATGGCCTATTTTAAAACTGTTTTCCTAGATAGGGCGCACTGCATTTTAAGGCGCATACAATAGTGGCTGCTTTTGCGCTATGCATCCACTAGATGAGCCTACTGTATAGGAAATACAATACAATACAGTGTAGTGACTCCTATGTACATAATTCACCACCAACTGCAAACGTGTGAATGTAATGTTTTCATATGCTTGTCAGAGAGCAGCTTTATTTTTAAAGCCCTCACAACCACTGCAGCTGTAACGATGAGAACTGGTCACAAACACGGACATGAAACAGATAAATACAAATGGCATTAAAAACAATAAATAAAGACAAAACTTATGAAGACAATTGATTCAACAAAAAGGCTCACCTACACAAGGAGCTAAATATCCTTTGAAGTCTTGCTTGTTTCCTTCTTCGTTTAGTCAGTAGTTAACTATGCTTGTTGTATTATCTTCGTGTCGTAATGGCTGCGCGGAGCCCACAAAGTAAATGTCTGTTTGTTTGAGTGTGTGTTGGCGAATGCTCATGTCAATTAGTGTCGGGCAGAACCCTTTTGAGTTACAATTGGTTCCTGCATAGGAACTCAAAACAGGGAAACAACTCTATGGGGAATATGAAGAGAGTTACAGGCTCTTTACATTGGGTGCACTGTCGGCTATTGAGAAAATGTCATGCTTTTAGGTGTGCCTTCGAGTGCGGAAAATACGGTACTGTAAATTTGATTACTGCAAACTCGGAAATCGTACTTTTGCCCATGACATTGCACAAACTTTCGGGGGGGGGGGGGGCAAAAGACTGGTTATGAACATTTTCAGAAAGTCTGTAAAGTCATGTCGACACAGTGCTGACATTTGACTTTTTCCCACTATTGTTTGGCCCGTTTGAGTACACTGACCTCGCGCTTGTTTACTTCCCCTCAACTTCCTGTGACCCAGATGAGAACGAGTGTCAGAACAGTCAAATCTGCGGGGGAGCATCGTGCCACAACACTCTGGGGAGCTTCCGCTGCCTCTGCCCCACCGGCTTTAACTACGAACAGGCTTCCGGTGGCTGCTCAGACGTCAACGAGTGCTCCTCCACCCAGAACCCCTGCAAGTTTGGATGCTCCAACACGGATGGGGGCTACCTCTGCGGTTGTCCTACTGGGTACTACAGGGCAGGACAAGGGTATGCTGTGAAGTGAACGCCTGTGTTTAAATGCTGCCTGCTGATGTGTACCACATACAGCCTAATGGCTTTTATATTTGCTTCAGGCACTGTGTCTCAGGGTTGGCTTTTGGTGGCGGTGACCAAACTGTTGCTCAGGGAGGGGAGGAGGACGACAATGCTCTGTCTCCTGAGGCCTGCTATGAGTGCAAGATCAACGGCTACCCCAAGAAAGGGCGCCAACGGCGCAGCGCCAATTCAACACAGGGTGAACCTGTGGATGACACGCAGGTAATTCAGTCAAGCTTGATTCAGCTGCTTCGCATTTTATCAGTGTGTACGGGTGCAATCAAAGCATGAGAGATACATGATTTTTTTTTCCTAAATACAGTAATGCCTTGAGATATAAGATAAGATAACCCTTATTTGTCCCACACTGGGGAAATTTGCAGTCTACAGCAGCAAGTTTGGGGGGGGGAGTATGACAATAACTCATTCCGTGACCATGTAAAAGACTCAAAAGTAGATCAGATCGTATTTCCACACTGAAATGAATGGAGATGCTGTTAATCTGTTCCAGTCTACAACCCCTCCCATTTACCAAAAATGTGTTTGTGCAATTTAATGAGGAAAATTGGCACTCCATAATATTGTACTGTACAAATTTAAAAACAAAGAAACCATCTAGAAAACCTGATGTGTTCGAAAAAAAAGTAAAGGCATTTTTGAAATCGGCATTAAAAATATGCTTAGGGACCAATAAAGCTGTTGACCAGTGTAATTAAGTAGGAAAGAATTAAACAGTTTGTGCTTCATGATTTAATGCTCCAATCAATCATCAAAAATGTATCCACATCTTTTGCAAAAGCACACAAAACAAATGATAAAAGACATAAGTACATTAACTCCCACCCAGAAGCAGTCTGTAGACTGTTGGACACGTGTGGCTTAAAGTCAGCGCATTTCCAAAGAACGTGAAATACAGAGCATGGCTTCCGAGGCAAGGATGAGCAAATAGTGGACTGAGGAAAAAGAAAGAAAAATTCAATTCATTGTGCAGCTCCTTCTGGTGTGCTTGCCTTTACCAGCGAGAGGCAGTATTACAATACAATCATAAAGACACAAACAAAGAAGAATAGACTCTTCTTTCTACAACTGCTGGAGGTGACTCAGTAAGACACTGTAATGTTCGTCCTTTTATAGAGGATTAAGAATACATGCCTATGAGTATTATATTGTCTGTCCGTATGTGTTGCGTGACCATTTGTGTTCAAATATCCGTTGCTTTTAAAACGGCGATGATCAATGCTAACGTTAGCATGTCTTTGTCGCTTTGCAATGTGTGTTAGTATTAAAGGAAGTGGTCTTTTCTAGAGCAAAGCTATGTTATATTAAAATTGTGTGTTTTATGTCTAGTGTGACATCATCTGGGAGTGCCATTAAACGGCTTGAAGCCTCTTTTTTGATCCATGTTTACTTTGCAGATTTCTGACAATGAGATGATCAGTCTGGCCAGTATGGACATCGAGGACACCCTGCACCTCCACCTAAACATCAGTGACCTGAGCAACCGCGACCATATCCTCGAATTCATCCCGGCACTGACCGCCTTGACCGATCACGTGCGCTACAACATCGACTACGGAAACGAAGCGGGCTACTTCAAGATCAACCAGAGGGAGGGCGTGAGCTACCTGCATCTGAGCAAGAAGAAGGCCCACACTCCGGGCGCGTACGACCTTCAGATCAGTAGCATCCCGCTGTACAGGAAGAAGGAGCTGACGGCGCTGGAGGACCGACATGATAAAGACTACCTCACAGGGCAACTGGGGGACATCCTGAAGATGAGGGTGCAGATCATCCTGCATTAACCAGCACAAGCCTGTGACGGGCAGAGGTTGATGATCCACAAGAAGCTAAACATCTCCAACTCTGGGTCAGTGTTGGGGCTGGGGGGGATCATTTTTGTTTTCCCCAACAGGGAGATGGACTTGCCACCAAAGAGACAAGGAAGAGGGGGATGGGCTAGGGGCGGGCAAGAGGGAGGTGGGAGGGGGGTTTACAGCGTTTGTTTGCCAAAGATGATTCTACATATCATAGATACAATTTCTGTGAGGAAAAAAAAATGCTGGCTTGAAAGCTCGCTGTCAAATGAACACATTGCGTTTAAGAAGTGTGTAAAACACCATTGGAAATGTGTTTCAGAATTATTGGTTTGCATGTTGTATGATATGTGGAATCAGTGCCACTTTGGAAGGCATAAGGACAACCGGAAACTCTCATGGTTGTTTTTGTTTGTTTGTTTTTGTACAACTGTGGCAGAGTGGAAGAAAAGGATGTCCCATTAGTCTGACATGAATTCATTTCCTCCCCTCAGGTAAGTGACTGACCAAACCCGGACACAACACATTTCTGCCTTCGCAAAGCTGTCGAATCGTGACGAGAACAGTTAGGAGAGGAAAGGGAGCCACTAAGGACTATTGAGATGTAATCGTGTCTGGCTTGAACGACTCCTACCGCGTATTTAAACAATGCTTGTCCATCTCTTTCTATGGATCATTCATATTTACTGGTGCTAGCAACACAACCACATAGCTTTTGAAATGCACTGTACTACCATACCAAATTCTGATATTCCGTCAGCCACTCCAATTTCATGTCTGCTATCTTCCCCGAAGCTGACCGCTCTCTTCTTATATTTCATGTAAATTGTGTTTATACTGTAATAATCGATGTCACTTTTAATCTATGATGCCTTTGTAAACTAGAGGAAGCCCTTGGAATACGGGGGTTTGTAATGGTGCTTATAATGACCAACTACTTTCTTTGTTAACTGTATACATTCACATATCTGTACACAGACATACACATTCACACACCTTTGACATTCGTGATGGCAAATCTGGACCTTACTGATCATGCACTGAGGCCTTCACGGCCACACAATTCTCTCACACGTACAATCAGTGCCGCATTACCACAGGCCAGCCTGACACCAGTCTGTGTTTTTGTTCACATCAGTGAGGGTTTAGTTGAACGTTCACAATAAAAAACATTCTTTTGGTGTATATCTGATTGCTACTTGCCCCTTCATCACTTCCTGTTTCTTCCGTATCCTGCACCTTATTTCCAGGTGGTGGTTTCTGGCATGAGCAACATGTGTGACCGCAACGGGTGGCAAAAATGCCACATTGTGTTAATTATTGCAGAGAGGGATGGCTTTTGTATAGAGGATTTGTGACCCCTTGTGGAGCTGCCCTCTGTAGGAGTACAAGGAAAGATGCATGTTGACGCAGGCAATGTCCAAATCTATAGATTGCAGCCTCCGAAGGCCACATGATGTCACTACTGGAAAGAGTCGACCACACGTGGTTCCCAAATTCCACAAAGGCTGCGTCCTTTGACCCCTCCTGATGAAGCCCCCGGTGTACATTACCTATGGTGAATTTGAACACCACGTGCGATGGGAGTCGTGACAGAAATGACGTCATGCGGCCTAAACAGATTCTGCTGATTTAGTACGTCAAAAATAAATAAATAAATAAAAAAACACATTCCTTCCCATCCTCAATACAAATGAAGAGGTTGGTCATTAAATAATACTAACCTTAGTCATGGCACAAACAAATTGATAGCACAACTCATCAATAGGTGAAATAATTACAACAGAGAAAAAGAACTAAAGTATGTATTTTTTTGTACTGCCTCTGAACTTTGTAATACTCTGCCCCCATGTGGAGAAACGCAACATTGTTAAAATAAAAGGGCAAATCAGACTGATATTTAAATATTTATTAACAAGTTCAAAACAGTGACCTCTAAACTCCCAACTTTAAAACATTCAACATTCAGGGCTTCAGTTGCTTCCAGTTGATCCGAAACCTCCTGCCCCGCGCTCAGTGTCATCGAGTTTCTGAAAAAGACATTTTCATGTAATCATTTATGTCAGTTAGATGAAAAACACACACTTAAACATGTTTGAAGAAGGGTTCTTTGGCTTCTTACCTCCTGTTCAACTAATTCTGGGTAGACGATTCTCTCGCACACCAGCTGAGCAACCCGATCACCTTTTTTAACTACAAGTTTGGAAAAACAAAGTACATCGTGTTGGAAGTAGAAGGGATTTGAAAATCCTTCAACCTATACTCAATTGAATACAAAAGACAAATTGTTTCACGTTGAAACTGATTAAATGCAGTATATTCGTTTTTCTTTTTTGATGCCTTTAATACATTTCTGGGGGGAGGGGGGGGGTGGATCAGAGCAGTTAAGTTAAGGAAAGATTCAACAAATATTTGGAACATTCCACAGGTGAATATGTCGATTGGAAATCAGTGATGTCATTGTTAGTTGTCAAAGGGAGAATCCCCAAAAGGGTCACAAGGAGAAAGGCTGAGTCATGGTTAAAAGTTAACCAAGTTATGAAACAACTGCATAAGCAAATAAATATCTTATGAAGGATTTACAAATTATCATATTTTGATTTATTAAAGTTCTGCAAATTCCAAGAAACAGTGGACTCAATTCATTTGAAAATCCCAAATAAATTCAAATGATTATTGACAAAAGAAAGCCGATCAGAGGTCAGTAACTTACCTTTGAATTTCTCTTTGCCGAAGTTAAATAGGACAACACCAACATTTCCTCTGTAGTCTTCATCAACAACTCCAGCTAAGAATACATAGGGGGGAGTTTTATTTTATTTTTTAAAAATCAAACTGATGAAGTCAGTTATAGTCCAATTTAATTTTTTTTTTTGCGAAGGAAAAACAGGTATGATGTTCATGTCAGCCGTGTAGAAAAATGGAGGAATCTGACATTCAACTCACCCCCAACATCGATAAAGTGCTTTGCTGCGAGTCCAGATCTTGGTGCTGAAAGTACAGAAAAATTACTGCCGAACAAGTTACTCTCTTTTTGTGGAGAAAAACGGTTGAGCTGGGTTTTATTAGATTTTTTCTTCTTTTTTTATGCACTCATGTATGTGTGGAAAAATAACTCACCCACTCTGCCATAACAGCCATGTGGTACTGCTATCTGGATGTCAGTTTTCACTACGGCCTTGTCCATAGGGTCAATTGAATAATCATATGCACTGTATTAAAAAAAAGAAAAAAAGTTACTTTTATTTAATATGATTTGATTTTACTATCCTTTTAGCTTCTTCTCCGCTACTAGTTTGATAAACGCGTGCTCAAACTATTCAAGGATAAAGAATCTCCGCATAGCTTGTTTCCACAAATGCTATGGTTTAGTTTATGTGCACAAAACAGACCTATGAAATTATTAGTATTTTTAAATTGCTATTTCCAAAGTGATTGACTTCACCGACTTGTAAGAGTTTCACCACAAATGCGCTTGAGTTATTTATGCATCCTTTGAGGTCATCTGAGAAAAATGAAATTAATAGAAATGTAGAAGTAACCTGTAGAGGTCATATCCAGCCGCTTTTGTGGAGCCTCTGGTGGGTGTCGTGGCATGTTCTGAAAGTTTGGCGAAGCGAAGAACGGATCTCTCCTCGGCAGGGTTGCCTCTGCGCCTTTTTAATGGGGAAACTTCACAAGCATCTGCGATCTCTAGGACGGGCATGTTGGCAAGATTAAAATCGATAAAACGCCAAAAAGAAACTGAAAATAAAAAACAAGAATAACAGAAGAGAATTTTCTTGACCCCTGCAGTGAAGAAAACACTAGAGTGAATGAGTCTTCCCGGCTCTTTGTACAAAAATCGCGGGCTTGACGTTAGCCCCGCCTCCAAAACATGCATTTTTTACATTTGTTCGACTAATAAGGGACTATACGAATGAAAACTGCTTGATATCAAACATTAACACGTTTAAAATACGTAAATGTGCATTTTAATAAAAAATACAAAGATGAACGCGTCTTTTTAATAACATAACAGGAAATACGTCACGATTAAGTAAGACACCCAAAACACGCGTCACTGTCATCCCGCGAGAGTTCTTCGATTTAACACTTCGACACAGAACAGACGAGAAATGAATATAACGTTGCTTTCGCGCTATAGCATAATAATCCAGGTGCATTGTTGTTGTTGTCTACGTGTTCACAATACAGATATCCATTATTTTCAACACATTTTTCACCCAAATGCAAATAACGCTAATGTCAAAGCTACGCATAAGGTATCTATCGTCGTCTGGTTCTTGCCTTTGTTTCGCTTGATCATCCGAGAGTGAAAATGTCTCCTTAAAACACTCGCACAGCACAGGTTCCTGAGAGAGTATGCACACAATGATGTTAATGCCATGCTAGTGTCTGTCTACTAACGATCATGGGGCATTATAGACGTGTATAACCAGCCTTTAAGGTCTCAAGGACGTCGCCCCCACCGCCATATTGGATGTGGTTGGTGAGGAGTGAGGACGCCTCATTCGTTTGCCGCTTGGACATGGACCAACCACAGAGGTGATAAAAGTCCTCACACTCTGCATTTATAAGATGAAGCATGAATATGTGTGTAAGCAGATATTGAAAGAAAATAATAATGATTATGATGCCGATAGAATAATAATTTAACGGGCAGGAAGCTGTTTTCTACGATTGAATTTTTGCCAAAGCACCTGGTTCACACTCCTTACCAGTAGACGGCGGTAATGCACCTGAATGTTTCTTGCCAACCGCCATAAAACTCCGCAAGAAGAGGAATATGTTTGAGGAATAAGCAAACCCCCTCAAGATCTCTAGTAGTGATGGGAATTCCGGCTCTTTTTAGAGAGCCGGTTCTTTTGGCTCGGCTCACTAAAAAGAGCCGGCTCTTTCGGCTCCCAAATGGCTCCTCAGTTTTTTTGTTGCTTAAATTAGTTTAATACCAAAAATAATGTAAAATTATGTGTAAAATTAATTACGAATGTAAAAAATATCCAGTATATCAAATATTTATTATTTATATGGCTTTATTTATATTCTTCTGAACATACTCAACATGGCGTACAACATGGAGTGCTACAAAAAAATAAATTACAAAGTACAAAAACAAAGACCCATCTCAAAAAAAGGTCAACAAAAAGTTCCAATCTCTGATTGTGCATATTTATAAGTGTTTAAATATTTACAGTAAAACAACATAAGTAAGCTTTGATTACCAAACAACAAATGATAAATTAATATTTGATATTGGACATTTTAACCTTGCACAGTCTACACGCTGCCTTTGAACTATCAATTAAGTTGAAATCAGTCCAAATTTCACTGCGTTTCCTATCCATTTTCTCACCTTTCCACTTTCCACCGTGTAGTTTTTTCTCTGTACTCAAGCGCTATCGAGCACAGATCTTGACCAATCACGTGCGGCTTTAACCGAAAGGGGGAAAAAAACAGGAGGAAAAAAAAAGTCGGCTCCCATTAAAGCGGCTCCCTCTTAGGAGCCGGCTCATGTCGTTCACTTCAAAGAGCCGGCTCTAAGAGCCGGCTCGTTCGCGAACGACACATCACTAATCTCTAGGTATACGTGTCTAAAAAATGGAAAAAAAGTAATGCATTTTGTTTGATAAATCTTCTGGTACTAATGTCAAAATATCATGTTCATTGTTGTGAATTCCGTGGAAGAAAGCCACACTTTACTGTCTTTTATTACGAATTAAATTAGCTTTATTAAGTATTCTAACAAAAAACGGCCAAAAACAATCGAGTAATTTGCAGTAATTTAAAGTTGTTTATTTAATCTTTTATGCCTCTAACATGTTGTAGCATAACTTAAATCATGACATTTGAAACGTCCTGTTTGAAATTATCCAACTATTACTCTTCATTTTATCACAATAATAATAATAATAATACTATTTATAAATATATATATACACACACATATATATATATATATATATATATGTATATATATATTTTTTTTTTAAGCGCCTTTCAAAACACTCAAGGACACCTTACAATGCTTAATATGCAGTTCACTGTATCTCTTAGCAAACGGTATTAAATGACAGACAAAATCAAAAACAGCTAATTTTATTTGATTTTAAAATGATTTTTTTTCTCAAGTACTCACAACAGTACACTTAAATGGAAAGACATTCGATTGCATACATTCAGAATGATTATGAAACAATGGTTATCTAAACAAAACCTTAAATATATCTAAACTAAAATAAAATATGTCGTGGGTAAGCTTAACAACACAAGATTTTACATTTTTATTTTAAAACATAAAATAAGGTTACCTATTATTATCACAGTTCATGCTCTTAAATCATTGATGAAATGTTGTTTTATTGCCAAAAATACAGATTAATGATATTGGATTTGTACTATATACATTTATTTCACAGTAACAGGTCCTGGGTCCACCATACCTGCATGTACAGTTTACTTGAAGGGATCTGACTAGTTGCAGGATGTTCGATGTGTGCATCTTATGCATTTAAAACAATCCATAAGCGTCCATTATTAATATTGTGACCCCAGAAAGAGACAGAAAAGTATTTCCTTGTAGTGGCATGAGGGTTGCTTCCCGCTGATTAGTAACCCCACTACTTTGCTTCACATCTAAAAGTTCTGGAGCGGTCCTTGAACGTGGGATTATTTCAGCCGAAGCTTTCATTCCAAGCACGCACATTCGTGGGTAAGGACCTCACGAGTAGAAGGTAAGCACACTCTTGTGGTTGCCTCTGATGAGGATGGTGGGTGGGAGGTCCTTGGTCAGAATGTCCAACCAGGCCATGTAGAGGAAGTCAGAGATGGTTTCCTTTCGTGCGATAGGCATGCTCCTGCACGGGGGTCAGAGACTCTGAGTCAGATTTTTTAACAGATGACTTCATGTGGTTGTTACAGTGCTAAAACCGTTGAACTTACACCACAATCAGGTTGGCTGATTTGGAGTTCTCCTGAAGCAGTTCATTCAGTCGAACCTGCAGATTGGTCTGTAAAGCAGAAGCGGTTTTGGTCCTTAATGACTTTCAACAATTCCTGGGTGCACTGTACAGTAACAAGATATCTGTTTTTTATGCACTCCTGTAAGAGCAGGTGCCAGTGTCCCAATTTGCATAGTTTTGCGTTCTTTCTGTTCTATTTAATACGTAGGAGTGATGCAATTTTGAAATTATTTCAACCAGGGGTGTCAAACATAGGCCCAGAGAGAGAGAGAGAGAGAGAGAGAGAGAGAGAGAGAGAGAGAGAGCGATTAAGTGAGTGTGTGTGCGCAAATGAACGGCAATTCCAAATGTAAATGCTGTTGCTAATTTTGTCCACCCGAGGGCGCTTTGACAACCACTTAAATGAGTTTGACGCCTGATATTGATGCACTTGTGAAGGCTAAAAGATGCCAAATTTCAGGCGTGAACTAACCCCACTTCATATAGAGTGCTGTGCCATCTTGATTGTTAGGAGTACAGTTCTGTGAAATAAATATCTACTGTTGGTTACTGTGTTTTTTTTCATACACTGCCACAACTTTTATGTGTTTTTATGTAAAGGCATGAGGACAAGTGCACCGTCTTTCTGAAAGTTCCTACTTTAGTTTGTATGGTGTGATGAGTAAGTCGAGGTTGTCAAGATTTCCAGAAGCTTGTAGAAATGTATGTCAAATCAAGATGATTTTGAGAAACGCAGTCAGTCTTTTAAATCTAAAACCATCCTGCAAATTCTCCAATTCAAGACAATGCAATCATGCGCGTGTTCATTTACCTTCTCCTCAAATTCATCCAACTCATCATCGGTAATCTTCCAAGGCTGTGTTTTCCGCATGGCTTCAACCTGCGTGCTTTCTTTGGTCCTCTCATGAAGGCGGAAAGGTTCGATCATGTCATCCAACTTCTTCAAGCTGAGAACATACGAATAAGAACATGAGGCACCTTGGTCACGCACTGGACCAAGGAGATTTTCCAACACATACCTTTCGTTACGGGGTTTGACATGGATGTCATCGATGACTATGATGTCAGTGCAATTAATTCGGAATTTCTGCAGGAGCGACTTCATCCTACAAGACAGAAAAGGCACATGATTAACTGTTAATTGTATGTTTATTCACCGCCCAGGAACATCTCCTCTAATTTCATCCCATCGCCCTCGGGACACCACATCGACAGTTAATCAAACCCATGCTCGTTAGACTATAATTTATAGTGAAACAATTAGCTGATTTCCCTCACTCCTGTTTATCCAGCTCGCTGCGTCCGGGCTGCCCTGCAATGAAGATCCTCATTTTGCAGTCTTTCCACTTCTTCCTGGTCGTGAGGATGTATGGCAGCAGCAGCGTGAGACCTGAGAGAAAGGCAGGAATAACAATGATACAAGTTGCTTTTATTGTATGGATTATTATGATTTACATTTTGAAATTTGTGGTAAGTTGGTGCTCTTTTTGCATGGAAAATGATGCAACTTCAACATGAGAGCCAGCTTGTAGACAGGGGATTTGTGCTGGTGTGGCTGCTTTAGAGCGCCTCGTTGTTGTGGCGGGAATTAGCACTAAGGTGACCAGGTGGGATATTCTCCCGCCACCAGAGGCTTTAAGCAGATTCGTCTTTGCGTTTTAAACGTCATCATGTGTTATCATAAGCAAGATGTCAGCCAATGTATCCATTTTTCAGTGGGGCGTGGTTTCACGCATTCGGCCACAGCGTTCGAAAACAGCTTGCTTTCTCAAGATTGTGAAACCTCATCTTCAATATATACTTGGCGCTTCTTTCAGCCATTCAAATTTGGCAGTGTTGGAATAACCTCACTGTGGTGTGTGAAAGACATTTGCAGTCACTTGGAGTTTGAACATAATCTGTTTCTGGGCACTGCACCGTCTTAAGTTTTTGTGTAACTTTTGAGCCAACATATTTTTATTCTTATTGATTCTGCTCACGCAATCGGGAATCATTGTATAATTTTGTCAAAATGCAAAATTAACTCAATAGAAAAAAAAAAAGCAAAATTAAAAGTCACCCATCCTTAGTACTTCCGAATTGAGTTCTTCACAAATAACACCGGTCCATCAACAATCGAGTTAACTCTGATATGATAAGATGTGGAGTCCTTCCAATTTGTTGTCCTGAAGTGATGCGATTTGCACCTGCAAGACTGCTGCAAATATTCTGTAGCTCTTTATTAACTGCAGGAATAAACAACACAAGCGTCACTCACCTCCATCGTCAAAGAGCCACCACACGTCAAGAGTTCCTTTGGGCTGTTTGGTCTTAAACTGAGCACTGGCCTGCACCAGCTTCTCATTCATCTTGGCAACCTGTGGTGGCGGGGGGCCGCATACCGACACTGTGGGGGAGACAAACGATTGGAAGCATGAGAGTTTGATGAGAGGAGGCATTGTAAATCACCAAGCGAATGCGCAGAAGGAAGACGGAGAAGGAAATGACTGCCTCAGCAGGGAGAGATGTCCTTTACATCCAATGTAATTCCACAGAGGCAGGATGCCGATTCGATACAAACAAGACACTTGTCATCACAGGTGGCGAATGTACTCACACTTTGTACTTTAGTACAAGTATAGATACAGCGACTTTTTTTTTTTTTTAATTCAGATTAAACGGAGAATTTTTGAACGCCAGAATGTGAATCAATCAACCGCAGTTGACTTTACAACTCTTAGTTTAAGTCTTCTTCAAATCGTTGTCAGCTGAGGAAGTTGAAAAAAGTTACTTTGACAAAATAAGCAGTAAAACGTCCGGATATCTGTTTTGAAAGGCAGTGAAAGAAAAGCGTAAACTTCGACAGATGTAAATAAATACGGTCACAAAATAGTTGTACTTGGTTCTACCACTGCTTGTCATTTTAGGGAGATGCAGCCCTGTGTGTGCCCATCTGTGTGTGTATGTATAGTAGTGCTTCTCAATTATACCTGTACATACTGGTGTATATAGATGCTGGAACAAATATTGGATTACTCCCTCGACAAATCTTTTAGTTCACTTATATCCTAATGGAATTGTGGAGAAGTTTCCAAAAAGGGACAGAAAGACATTGCTTCCATTTGGCAAATGCTCTTCAAAGCCAAGACCGGAGATTTAAAGTCGTGTTTTGAAGGATTTATCACTTGATACGACCTTTGCGAATAGAGTGCATTAAACCTTACCTCGGGTGGTGAGCACTTGCTGAGAGGATTTTCTGGACTTCCTGAACAATCCTTTGGCTTTGACTCCGTTTGACATGAAATCACTCTCCAGCGCCTGTTGCTCTTTTGCTGATTTTAGCATTTCCTCTGAAGAAAACATTTACGATACATTTATGCAGTATATGGCTATTAATCTTGCTATTGCCATATTGTTACATTTTGTTGAACTGCAATGGACATTGCTGAAAGATGTCTTTTATAATGATGCAGTATTTTGCAGTACAATTCCACACTGCTGCAAACTACACCTACAATAATGCACTTATAGATAGATAGATATATGTAGCTAGCTAGCAAGCAGCGAACTTTGTTAGTCTTACAATAAGTACATTGCCCCAAAGGGTGCTCCTTGAGTCTGATATAAATGAGATCTATTAAGCTACATCTGACTTTCATACTGACCTTCTGCTTCAACAATATGAGAAACATCAAGTCCCTGGTCCATCCTCAAGATCACTGTGCCATATTCAAAGTCAAAGGCATCACTGTCAGAAAAAAAAAAAAACTGTTTAATGCAAGTAAAAGTTCTGTTTTATTTCTTCATAACAACTGTGTGGGAGTTATGTGAGGATTTATGTTAATAACTTACTGCAGCACTCCCACATAACTCTGGACTGCTTCTGAACCTGAAGTCTTCCAGTTTCTTTTGAAGCCTATCATTAGTGTGTTGGGCTTCATGCGGCCAAGACCTGAGGCCTGTCAACATGTCAACAAATAGACCTGCATTAGCTCAGCGGACCTGCACTTTGACCACACACGCACTCAATTTGTGGACCAAACATGACACCACAATTATAGTCGAGACTGGAAAGATCATTTTCGTAGGTTTTGTCGTTCCTCTTTCTGATCCACATTTTCTTGGGTCAATTATGAATTGTTCAGCATCACACCTGTAGGTAAATTATCTTGAAAACAAGCTTGTCGTGGTATTTTTCATAAATCTTCTGTTTTCTGCCCATTGTTCAGAGTCATGTGAGAGGCAGCGACTAACCCGATTGACTAAGTGAAAGGGGGCAAGCACACCGAAATGGTCAAGAAAAATATGATTGTTTTTATTTGGATTCGGCAGCAAACATAATGAAGTCTGTTCCCATATATTATCCGGTATTTATTTAGGATAGAACTGAGCCCTAAATATGAATGGATCCCAATGAGCTGTTAGCAAGGGTTACAAAGCAAAGAAAACTAATACGATAGTATTTATGGATAGCCATTCGTAAAGGTGAGCATTATGGCCGCATCAGTAGAAGACTCCATAATCGGTTTGAATCAGCCAGGAACCGTTGGCTTAAATGAATCGATTGTAGGGCTGTGGATCGGCTATCGTGACCCAAGGAGTTGGTTGGCTGAGGCTTTACAGTTTTCTTCTCTTTCTTTGTCCATGTGTACAATTAAATACATTGAAATGGTACTTTGTTGCTGTTTAATTTTACGGTGCCATAAATCAACAATGTTTTGGGATTAGGGTGTAAAATATTGTAAACATTTCATTTTATAGAATTGCATTCTTGACAATTAACTTTGACATCAACAAATGTTGACAATCATATTGTTGCCACACCATCTCAATTGTGCATCACTCCTAAACTCAAATGAATTGAAGTAAACCATTGCACCCTGAAAAAAATATTTTGGAGGCAAATCATAACCCGTGCATCGAACTATATCGAGTATTGAATCGGGCTCATGCCAGAGAGTCCTAACTTTTTCCGTTAACTTAGGAGACCACAGTATTTGAAAACAAATAAAAGGACCAAAAAGTTCCCCAAAGAAAGTTGTGTGGCCGGGCTGTTTTACTGCCACAAGTTAAAAGCAGATCAATCTGCACATCCTGTGTCTCGGGGCCCTCATCCAGAACAGTGTTAATCAATTCTAGCTTTTAAAGTGACGCACTGTTTGAAGTCAGACATCCTGACAATGAAAAGCCTTATCTGAGGTGTGATAGTGGAAGCCATAAGATTGTGTTCCTGCTTCTCATTAACTCATCTTGCCAGCTCCTCCAGAGCATAGCAATAGATACTCGGTGTATCTCTGAGGGACAACAATGGTCAATAAAAATGGCTTCTGCTATGTATACATTTCATTCTCCAGTTATACATTAACAAAATGGATTTTTCTGGGTCAGTTGGTTTGTTTTTTTGTTTTTTTTGTGTCACCTTATTATACTGACCTGCAGTAGTGTTTCCACTCCTTCCCGAAATTTATCAAATGCTACGGCGGTGTAAAATGCTTTACGTTTCGTCTTCTTCAGCCATTGCTGGTTCTTCTCTACGCCGGCGTTCATTTCTGCCAGGGTCTCTACTCTTGGACCCTGGACAGATTAAGTGGACAAAAATTGCCTTTGGTGAGCTACACAAATCTTTGCGCTTTACAACAATAAGATCTGAGAATGTGACTTTACCACAAAGACTTCACAGGTGAGACAGAGTCCATAGTTCTTCGAAAAAGAGTGAGCCAGGTCTAGCAGAGCTGGCCTGGTGCGAGTGGCCCCTGTGAGTGCCAAGATCTGAGGCCTGAAGTAAACATTAAAGCAAGCAAACACTTCTTTATTTCAAATAATGGCCACATGTTGGGATTTGAGACTAGATTTATACTCTGTGGTTCATGTGAATCATTTCCATCTTGATTTGTTTTCTTCCAAACCATGGACATGTTGTACGGCAATATGACAGCAGGAGTGTTGACTGAAATGGCTTCATTGTGAAAAAAATCGTTGAACTACACTGATCAACCATGTACCTGCTCTACCGGTTGTTAACAATTGCACATTTTTGCCTCACTGGTAACATGTTGTTGTCCACCTAGTGAGGACAAAGCTATTTCCTAATGATGCATCTAGAGGGTCTGAGATGTCAACTGCACTAGAAATAAAATTTGGTTTTACAGTTTGTCGTTTTTTTTTTTTTTTTTTTTTTTTGTCCAATTAAATTCTACCCTCTATGGGTTGTTATGTTCATCTAATCTTCCCATGGCCTTCAGAATTAGTAGTGCTGGTCCATGTAACTTCAACTACATTAACAATGGGGCAGATTCTTTAACTACTGGTAATCAGATTTCAAATGTGTCCTACGGGCCCATGTAACAAATGCATCCCACTGCTTAGAAGCATAGTCCTGTCCATGCAAATAAATGTAAATGTTTTTTCTTTTTTTTAATCTGCAAACCCTTTACCTGAAGTTTTTGACGTGATCTTCTACTCCGGTTAGAGACAAAGCATTGCTGACCGCACTGACGAACGTCACCGCTTGAGTAGATGAGCCCCAGTTCACGTCTGGAAAGGATCATGACGGGTGAGTGCCACAATACCGGAGGCCAAAGGGCAAAACAAGGCCACCATGCACACAAACAGCTCACCTGGCTTCTTGACAGTGACATAAATGTAGAGGAGGATCTCGATACCGTAAGTGAGCAGTGCCGCCCACCAGTTGATGACAAACATGACGGCACAGCACAGAAGAGCACCCAGCAGGGACAACCACATGTTGTAATATTTGTATGCTGGTCGCCAACCTGTTGAAACGTGAGCAATGTTAGCAGTTAGGTAAGACAGAAATTTAAAGTGATTAAAAAAAAAAAACAGTTTGTGGCAGAAAATTGCAAAGAAGATCAACCAAAATTAGTGCAGACTTTGGGAATAGAGAGCTTGATAAAAGTGCTTGAACAGAAATTTGGCGCGCAAACTTGGTGAGATACATGGTGAGCAGAGAGTGATGATAAGGCGGGATCTCATCAATGAGTATTTTATAAATAAACACGGACTAGTGAATTTTAGAAAGTGGAGAATATCTGGTTCCCTCAACGGGGTGCGAAAATTAATATTTGTTTACAATACTACAAATAATGTATCGTGTACATTGACAGTCAAAACAATTAAATTCTCTTCCAACAGACTGCAGGTGGTACATAATTAACCTGTGTGCTGTGAGATTACACTCCACTAAAATATGCGCATTAACAAAAGGTTAGCAAACACTGATTTATAAGTCACTCATTAACAATTTTTACCACAGATATTTCAATATTTAATATTTCTGCTTCTTCCAATTTTTTTACATTTATTTTTTGTTCACTGGCTGGCAGAAATAATATGAAATTCAAGTGCTGTTTGTGCATCATGATTGAACTGGAAGAATGTACTCCTATTGTTTTAAAACTCATTCGGTACTCACCTGGGGACTTTGCGTAGGACGCATGGAAGCAGGAGAAATTGATAAGTGCGTAAGAGGCCAAGAAGAAGTTTGAAATGATGGGTGCGATGACATTGAGATTCCCTATGGAGAAAAAAAAGATATACAAATTGGAAAACCATTCATAAAACATATCAATTTCAAGACTGCTGAATAAATATGTATTTTAGTTGTAGTTACTGCATGGCAAGAAAAAAACATGACGACAACTGAACAGACCGATGAGAATGAAGGCCACAGAAATGAGAAAGGTGAGGATGTATCCACGGAGGGGCTCGTCGTTCTTGCCGTGTCCTTTGGCAAAGAAGTGCAGGGCCTTGTAGATGTTGTCTTTGCACAGCGCCTGAGGCACAGATCAAAATGAAGAGTCAAGGGCAGTGTTGTACCTGAATCATATCCAAACAGGACCTAAAGCTGTCAAATCCTGCAAAGTAAGTTGTATGCAGTGGTGGCTTGAGAATTTAAATTCATTCCATGACCACGTTTGTAACTTAAAACATGCGTATCTCAAATCATTTTTCACCACTGAACTGAATGGAAATGCCAGTAATTCATTCCAGGCTCACTCCCTAAAACATTTAAAAATTGTCATTTGTTTAAAAAAAAAGGAAAATAGCACTCAATAATATTGTTTGATAAAAACATAGCAATACCAAAATTAAATAGAATGTAAAGATTTGTTCTTGGGTAAGTGATTTGCTTAATTTCGTTGGGCCTTCGCTGGGCAGTAAAAGAAATGAAGGCGTGCAATATGCATGATATTTTACCTTCAATGGGCGATAGGCTTACTGAAAAACTCAAAAGTCAGGTCCCTCGTTTCTCAAGGTCCCACTGTAGTTCAATATTGAGTAAATGTTTGGGAAATGACTGACCTGGAAGACTTTGGGAGCACTAACAAGAGAAGCCAGTGCGGATGAGAGCGTGGCTGAAAAAGTTCCAGCGATGATCAGGGGTCCAAAGCCTGACACCAGAGTCATCACCTGACACACATCATTAAAAAGAGCACTTCATGAGAACCCTCATACAGTATGCAAGGCTGACACTTAGTATGAGCTTTTTACCTGGAAGTTGTTCATCGCACCAAATTTGCATGTTTCCACTGCGCAGGAAGAAAAATTGTACCCGAGCTCACAGGCCGCGACAGCTGAACCTCCGCATGACACTCCGGGAGTGATGAGGTCAGTTGTGTTTCCTGTTGCATCACGCACAACGCTAGCAGCTGACCAGAGAATAAAAAAAAAACAAAAAAAAAAAAACAATTTTGTATAATTAATTTTTTATTATTTCTCATAAGGAAAATTGAATCAAAAGCAAAAGTGTAGTTTGGACTTCCTCAAGAAATGGATTGTGTTTATGCACCGACCGGTCAGCTATACATATTCAATTACTTTTTTTGTTGTTTTGTTTTTTTTTATGTTATGATGTACTTACAGACACAAAGGGCCACACCCAGGTAGGTGATACCAGTGATAAGAATAGCCAATAAGGTGCCTTTAGGAATGGCATCCTGGGGATCCTGAAAAGGAGCACAAATCTTCATTGGCCAATTTCACATTTGTAGTCCCTACAGTGACAATAAAATGATTCTAAAAAGAAGATAAAGGGTGTTGGGGAATGTCCATTTGATTGTAAGGGAAAAGTTACCCGTAAGTCGCCGGAAATGTTGGCTCCTGCCAAGATTCCGGTTGCAGCGGGGAAAAATATGGAAAACACTGAAAAGAATGACTCTCCTTGCCTGAAATCCGGTGGAAAATTCTCTAAAAAGATATTTGCTGTGAAGAAAAATAAAGAGAAAATTACATCAAATGTAATCTTGGAATAAATACACATGGGCCTGAGATATGAGTCACCCAATTTAGGATTTTTTTTGAGCCGTTATCAAGCCATTTTTATTACCGGTATTATTATTGTAATTAATTTTTTAAATGTATTTATTTATTTTTTGTTTCGAGCACAAACTTGAGATACGAGCACTGTATGGTGGTTGTGAACTCAATTTAACTAACTCCACAAATTGCAGCAGTTTGGAAAATAGTGAACAAGTCATCAAAAACACTTATCGTCACAAGATGATTAGATTCGCTTGTGTGCTGTAGCAGCTCAGCTAACTACATGCCTTTGTGGCGGCCATGTTCGCAGGGGCGATGTTCCCATCAAAGGTAATTCATGAACATTGAAATAAAGTCATACTGTGCACAATTCTCAACCGATTTCCATGAGGTGTACTCTTTTGTCAATTCCAAAACGTGTGCTATCAACACAGAACATTTGGGAAAAAAGTTCGCTAAATATTGCTACTCATGAAAGATTATTCCCAGTACACTTGTTGTAATTGTACAGTGTTATACGCAACCGAATGCAACACAACGTGCCGGCATCCATTTTTTTTCAGTTTCCTTGATGTCCACGCAGCTCAAAAGGAGCATCTCGTATCTATGTTCATATCCATGCTTACAGTAGTCGTGAAACTATTCTTCTTTGTTTGTATCCGCATGACTCTATTATACTGACCTCCGGTGTCCAAGAAATGCACACCAAAAGGAGCATCACAATGAATTGAAATGCAGCATTAAATCATGATGTGCAAACTGTTAAATTATCTACATTGTACTTAATTATGCTCTTACTCTATTTTTGTTTACAAAGTACAACATTTTAGAGTGCAATTTTCTTAATTAAATTAAATACACAAGCACAACAATTTATATCTCAAGGCACCACTGTAGTGCCCCTGCTGAAAATGTACATGCTGATAAGTCTGTAGAATTGTTTTCTTACCGTCATAATTAAATACCCCCTTGGATTTCTTGTCTGCGGTGGGAGGAATGAAGGTACCCACAAATACATTCACAATAGCTGCCAGTAGGATGATGAGAAGAACTATCTGAGCCTGTGGGTGGCAACAGGATTTGGTTGAATTTATTGCAATGAAACACCTAAACATTGCCACAATATGCCTGAAGGTTTTCAAACTAAATATTCAATGTGACGCTAACCTTGGCTTCCCATTCCATTCCGGCTACAGATATGCCCAACAGCAGCACCACTGTGATGACGCCAATGATTCTAATGTCATTTAATGGATCCACCATGAGTACATCGTGCTCCTGAAGCGAGAGAACACAATTACGTCACATATGAGCTACAGTAGCAGTCAGTTTTTGTGCCCAGGTATTTCTTTATCTCACAACTTTGTGAAATTCCTGTTTTCAAACCTCTGTAATGACTAACAGAGCCCTGTGAATGGTGCTGTTGAATCGTTTTAACTTTGAGACCAGCGTAGCTTTTGAGAAGAAGATAATGGTTGGGCTGTGAATCTTGGCTTCCCACGTCGATTTTGACGGAGAGAAATTCCAACACATTTGAAGTCAGACATGTTTTGGCACCTTATACTTGGATCGAGTACTGTCTATATTGTATGGTAAACACAGCGGATGTGTCACAGTAGGTAGTAGAAAGTGTGTTTTGGGAATGTTAGAAAAGATAATGCGGTGAGTCAGCATTGCTCATGGTGCATTTGTTAGTTGTATAGAGGGATGAGTACTGAAGTCTGTGCTAATTTTTGGTAAGGACTGATTTGGGTCGGGACTATTGAGTTGAGTATCGATGTACGAGAAATCAAAGGGCACCATTTTTCTATGTCTAAACTGATCTTTGTAATTTGTGACTGTGCTAATTTGTTAAAATCTTGCAGCTCTTTTTTCATGCCGGTCTTAAGTCTAGCGCAAAGCTCAGTCTAACTGCGCTTGGGTGGAGCTTTCTTCCTTTTGTTATTTTGTACAGACTTTGCACAGGTAAAATTGGGCATAAGGGGGGTGTTTGCCCTGTTGCGGGATGGAATGTTGCCAACTCACAGTGTTCTGCTTGACATGTTTGGGTTTTTTTTGGGGGGGGGGTTCAGAAAAAGCTTATTTTCTCTGCTTTTTGGTCAGAAACCTGTGTTCTAGTGAAACCGACCAATGTTCTACTACTGATTACTAATGGACTGAAAGCGCTAAAAAAAGAACTGTTTTCTGGTGAAAGAAGAGAGTATTTTCTTTCCTTTGGTAGACTTGGTGCTTATTTGTTCCGAACACATTCTCTGGGTCTTGAAAAAAAATTCTCTAAAACAGCTGGCAATGTGGGCAACACTGCTCTGAAACAGGCTGGGAGTGACTGAATTGAACACTGCTTTGGATTCATTAATATGCCCGCTACGCTATAGTACCCATTTATAATGGCTCCATACATAAGAGTGCTTGGCTAATTAAATTAAACATTTGTGCATTGACCAGCGGCGTTTTCATATTACCTTGAGTAAATCCACAACGGTCTCAGCAAATCCAACAACATACATGGCTACAGCCACTGCATTGGCAAAGGCAAAAATCAGGCCGATGGAACCACCAAACTCTGGCCCCAAGCTGCGAGATATCAGGTAGTACGCCCCTCCTGAAAATTACACACAAAGTAGATAAATCATCTTCATGAAGTTCATTATTTGTTATCTGATGGAGTGTTTTGACTTACCTCCCCTGACCACACCATTTGTGCAAATGGCTGACATGGAAAGGCCGGTGATTGTTGTCACCACACAACTAAGAGCAATAACCACTATTCCCAAACCTGAAATGTGCACAAATCATTATTTTCAAATGGACACATCCAACAGCCATACAAATCTTATCAAGCTCTTTGTTTGCAAAAATCAAACCTACAGTCACCTTTGCACACAGTCCCAAAGAGGCCGAGGCTGTAGGTTATCGTCAATTGATTTGGCTACTGCATCAGTCTTAGCAAGCTTTTCAAAACACCTTCGAACAAAAGCTGGAGCTGATCAATACATTTTTGAGCAAGGAAAATACACTCTGCCCCCAGTCCCTCTGCTTTATCTGTATTCAGTACATACATATTTACAGTACATACATATTTCTCACAAAGGTGAATATAGCCCTCACATTTTTGTTTCTATTTTATGATATCTTTCCGTGGGACTTAGGGAGCGAAAATTGCTCATTGGGCCCAGTCTGGACATTTTCACTTGGGGGTGTACGCACTTCTGTTGCCAGCAGTTTTAGCCACGAACAGCTGTGTGACGACGAGTTAATAACAGCGACCCGCCAGGCTTCTCATTCTGCCTCCACCATGTTGGTTATTGCTGTCTTGTCCTCTGAACGGGTTAATTTCTTGTGTGTTTATTGCATACTTGGCCAATGAATGTGATTCTGATTCTGATTGAAGGGGACAGTAAATGCACACAAAGCTTTAGCCTGACTACTTTACATTGTAGCAAAGTGTAATTATTCAATGTTGTCCCCTTACTATATTAGCAGCATGTCTGTCATGTTTGTAGAATGTTTTTCACACACTGGCGGAAAGTAATCCCTTTCAAACGTATTTCATGGTCCAGTCGAGACTGTTGGGAATGTTGGCTTGTCTCAGTTCGAGCTTAGGAAGTTCAATCACCGAACATTTGGGTCAAACACAAACACGGCTTATTACCACAATCAACTCGTGTTTGTTTTGTGTTGTTTTAATGGATCATTTGATCATCAGCAGGACAAACGTGATCATGTTTGTCTGTGAAATCAAACTTCCTAGTTCTGTCAAAAGCCACATAAGTGCTCAATTACCTATAAGTTTTCCATTGTATTTTTTACATAACATGCTGAGGAGACACATTTGTTTGTGATCAGTCATTCCCATCATTGCTTTTATACAATAGCTACTGTACCACAAGCACAGGTATGTAGGCCAATAGCTAAATCAACATCACTAAATTCCAATCAGGAGATGCTGAACTGGACTAATTGTTTGCAGCGGCACTAACTCACCCCAGCCAGCCTGTCCAAACACCCAGGAAAGGCGGATGAACAACATGACTCCCCAAATGTTCAGCATGCATCTCACCTGTGGACCACAAATGTCATGGGTGAGGCCCTTGATCTATCATCGTAAGATAAAACAAAGTGGCAGTGTGTCATTTACGAACGCATGTGCCTGCAGGTCTGAGGGAAGCCCTACTTGAAGCTGGTAATGATGGGGTTTTTTTTCACCTTACTGGCATGACATTTTCGTGCACAAGCATAACAAGGGCACAAGCACGTTCATGTTACTAGTGAAGCAAAACTGTACTGGAGTTAACCTCTGTGCTATTAGTTATACCTGTACTAGTGAAATATTAGATTTTAACCAGTATAATTTTGTAATGTCACTAATTGTACTACTCCAAATAGCACACCGTTGTCAACTAGTACACAGTTTAGCCTCACTAGCAACAGTTATTCTACTCGTGGGCTCTAGTTACTCGACTAGTCCGCCCCAGTTGTTGCAATAGTGCAAAGAAATGTCTTGCTGTAGTGTTTGGTCGTAGTGGAGAGAAACCACACTGGTAAGACATAGTCATTCTACCAGTTTGCAGAATTGTCATACAGTAGTGGAAAAAACAGCAGTAGTAAGACAGTTGTTCTACTAGTTCGCCCTAGCTGCTGCATTACTGTACAGGAGTGTTTGGTTGTACTGGACAAAAACGTCACCAGTATGACATATAGTTGTTCTACGAGTGCATTCTAGTCATTCTACTAGTGCACACAAGTGTCCTAAAAGTTTAAGGCTGTTGTGGAAAAAATGTCACTGGAAAGAAGACAATGGCATTCCATTACCATTTTGAAGTCATTCTACTAGTGCAGACAAATTTCATACAGTAGGTAAGGAGAGTGGTGGAAAAATGGCACCAGGAAGATATAGTCGTTCTACAAGTGCGCTGAATTGTCTTACTAGTGCGGACAAAGAGCGTTGCAGTGCATGGACAGTTCAGCGAACTAGTCGGATATTAAATAAACCTTCTAGTCATTTTCCATATACTCTGCTTCTATAAAGCAATGGCAACCTGTTACGGCACACCCTAACTTACCAGGACACCTCTGATCCAGCCGAACTTTACAACTCCTTTGCCACTGTCAAGGTGAACGGCAGACTCCACATCATCCGAGGGGGTGCCGTCGCTCCCCTCACAGTCATCCTCCACCGTGTCGGGAACAGAGATGGCTCCGTTCTGTTGGAAAGGTGTTAGAGCACAGTAGGGTCCATTTAAACCTTAATGGAGTTTGTTTTGAAGTAGAATGTGCATGTTTTTGTCGGGATCAAGATTGATCAATCATTTGTCAATCGATTATGCTGTGTATGCATGCCCTTGAGAACTAAAGAGAAAAACACAAAACTAATTTTAGCGTTCTATGAAGACAAATACAGAGCATTAAATGACTCCCCAGCATCTTGTTTAGTCTGACCTCACTCATGCGTTTAATTTCGTTGTTGTCATAACGCCAGTGTCCTTTTGAATTTGGTCAATTGGACTCTGTGCAATTTTGATTTTATACAGTTCAAAACTATGTGTCCAGGCCGTTCATCCATTAGAGAACTGTTTGTGCCATTTTTTGTTGACGGATGACCTTCCACGTTTTTGCTTTATTTCAAAGTTTGACATCAGGCAGAATTACTGAAAAAAAAAGTCCAGAAAGGCTAATATAGTCACACCTATAAAACTAAATCTCTTTTGCAATAGAAAGTGTTATAAAGGTCAAATAAAAGAAGCAGTAAAAGTCTGAAGCGTGTCAAACACTTAAATGAAGGAATAACTTCCAGTGCCTTGTTTTCATTTTCACAAGTCTTTCAACTTAATACGTGAACTGTGGTGTGGACTAGTGAGGGGAGGTCCCAATACATCGTTACTGTACTTCAGTAGATGTTACAGGTTGTCTGAGCTTTATTAGAGTATCTGACAACTTTTTTTTACATTTACTTACTACTACCTACAACTAAAAACAGGTATCTCTACTTTGTAGTCCTTACTTTGTCAAAAGAGGCTCATTGTGTTTTTTGTAACCTCTTTGGATGACATCACAAGATGTAAAAAAAAAAAAAAAAATTAAAAAAGGACATCACTAGATTGAGAGGTTAAGTGAACTGCAGTTGGAATCTTGATCGATTGCAATCTTTGTGTTTTATCAGGCAGGAAAAAAAAAGAAATAGAAGCAGCATGGAAAAACATATACCAGGGAGGAATACATGACAAAGTGTAACATGTGTTGGTATGAGCCGTGGAGGAAACCGTCCCTGGACATGTACCGCCAGACAGCCGAAGGAGCAAAGACCTCTGGAGTTTCCTCAACAACAAAATTCGAGTTCCTCAACTTCACCACATGCCAATCTTGAGCACAGTCCATGAAAACAAAAATGTTCTCTGGATGTTTAAAGAAAAAGGTGGCCAACTGCATAGTTAATTAAAGAGGCTCCACCATGTGGTGTGATACCATACTATAATAATGGACTGTTACAAGAGTCAAAACAATCGGTAAAGCAAGATCCATGGCTACATGGACTTGTTTAAGAGAATTCACAGTGACTACCTTGTGCCTGGTCGCATGCTAAACCAAAAAAAAAAAAAAAACAGCCTCTGGAATTCAAAAATGCGTAATCTAATCCGAAAAGAAATATTTAAGTCAGGTGGATTTTTTTTCCTTTGCTATTATTTGCTAATTTAATGTTTTTGTTAGTTAGTTAAATGTTAGCAAACATATGGAAACATGTTTTGTTTGCCTCTCCGGTCATTTTGCACTAGGTAGGTTCATAAATTATTTTGCGTGCAGAGAATTTACCTGTCACAGTCGGTACATTTTTCCTCTCACTTTAAAGAATTAAGGACTTAAATCAATTTTTTTTTCAACAGGAGTACAACCTGACTAGTGGCTCCCACATCTAAAATCCTTGATGAAAAATGACATATTTGATTAAAGAAGTCCATCGTCTAATCTATTGCCCACACTTCTCTTCTCATTTTGACACGTCTACTTGGAGATCTTATTAGTGGATATTTTGAACTGATATCGAAGTAGTTCCCCACGTAATGAGAGTCAAGGAGATATGCTGAGGAATAATCAAGTTGTACTGTTTTTTTTTAATCTAAGGCAGTTTTTGACAAGTTTCCACAATCTGTGGTGCGTTGTATTCACGTTAGAGTGGCCATTCCAATCAGTCAATATTTTGGCAGACTCTTTTTCAGGAAATCTTGTCACATTGCTAGTGTGACTACTTTTTTGACGTCTGGTTGTCTGTCAGGACCTTGCCATCAATTCCAAAATAAGTGTCAGAAAATGGGTTCGCTTCTCAATGTAAACGACACATATTTGTAACAAAACAGAACAGATCATGAATGAGGAATAAAGCACAAATAGATGACTCACCTTTTGAAAGACATCATGCAGCTCTTGCAGCGATGGCCGCACCGCCCGGTGACCACTCACGCTCCCCGCATTGCGATAGAAGTCGATGTTGGGTACGCGGTCTAAAGTGTCATGACCGAAGGCGCTGACCACTGAGGGCCGGACCGTCCGGTAATCGTCGTCGTTCTCGTAGACCGGCGGCCCATCCAGAGTGGAATCATAAGCGAGGTTAACGTGCTCCCCGCCGTTCGACTTGACCTTCTCCATCAGGAATGCTGAAGGATCTTTTCGGGTTTAAAGATTCAAGGGAACAACACCTGCCAAGGTTTGATGTCTTCAAGCATCCAAGAATGTTTTTGAAGAAAAGAGCCCTCTGACAACTGGTTTATCGACATATATACTCTTGAGACAAACGTCTTCCAAGAGCTCCTTCTTATATACAGACTCGAGTCGTCTACGATGGCTCACCTTTATACCCTACATCCCAGGATCATATCCCAGCTATTTCAATTATTGGCTAACTCTCAGGATCAACCCTCAGAAAACCGAACAACGGGTGTCAACTATGTCCTTGCTCCATCACAAAGGCATTGCTTAATGATTAACCAGGCCATAAAACACCAAATGAGCGATAAAGAAGCTCATTGCCTGAGCGCTGGAGAATTGATCACTAATATTATTGTCTGAAGTACAGCACATGTTGTTCAACGGTGGCACTTTATGATGCTATGGGCATTTCCTTTGACCAGAACATGTTTTGGATGAATCATTGCTGCAGGAAATTCCCATTGAGGAATCTCACATAACTAAGCAGCGCAAAGCTAAGTAGCAGCGGTAATAGAAGACTAATGATGCCTTGATGATTACTGTACTTGGATTTAGATCAGCAGCATAATGGGATGAAATACAGGTTGAAACTTCACTTAGTAAGTCTGTTACAGTATTGGCGAAATAAATGCTATTCGTCATCAGACTCTCTGCAGGAAAGTCTTTGAAGGGAAAGCAGTGGTTCGACTTGAAGTGAAGAATTAGCCATAAAATGAGAGTTAATGTGAGACCATGAATTACAGGAACATGCCCAAGGCACTTCTCTACAGCCACATGACTCCTGAATTGCCTTTAAAATACTTTTTAACAGGTAAACTTCCTTATTACTGGCACGCTCTGTGATTTATGCACTAGTGAAAGGCAGTCTAATGACTTGAAATCTGACCTTGGGGCTGCTTTGCAATGTGGAGAAGTAGTTGTCCAGCGTATGTTTTTATGTACATATCGAAAGGAAGCAATCCCTGGCAGTCAGGCTTATCAGAATTAGGTTGTAACCCTTTTCTTCAGGAATTGTACTGATTGAGTCAGGAAATTTTCCACACTCGCATCCAGGCTTTCTTTTTTTCTCTCTTCTTATCTTTGTTTTCAGCTCAGTAAAAAAGAAAGCTTATAATTTTGACTGACATTAACACAGATATAAAAATATATATATATATATATATATATATATATATTATATGATTTGTTTTACTTCACTGGGCTTGGCATTCACAATTTTGTGGCTGGTGGGTTCCT